CCGAAGTTTGGGGTGGGTGGTGAGCTTTTATCCTCTTAAAGTGGCTGACTTCCCATGTTCTCCTACCTACACACATACAGACGGAGAGAGAGAGAGAGAGAGAGAGAGAGAGAGCTTATAGGGGGGTCTCTTTTAGTGAGAGAGAGAGAGAGAGAGAGAGAGAAAGTGCAGTTCAGAAAAAGCACCTTTTTTTTTGAGGTCAGTGCTGGTGGAATCCAGATCATTGAGCCGCTTGTGGAGTTCCATTTGAGGGGCCTGAAATAGAACAAGGAATGGACGCTCATAAATAAGTCATGGAGACGTTTCGTTAGGTTTTGTCTTTTCCGGCTGACGGTTTTTTAGGCTGTTCAAAAGCAGTAAGTGCTAAGTAGGAGGAGACGGGGAGAACGTGTGGCAGAAAGACAGGCGTGCTCCAGCCGAGTGACCAGGGAGGAGACTAGAGAGAGAGACTCGAATACAAAGCCTTCTGCTTTCTGTGTGGGTATGTGCTTCCAACCCAAAACTCAGATTTTCTTGGTTTCCTGCCCATCTGCGCTGCCCTTCCCCTGCCAACAGGACCCGAGGTGGGTCACAGATTGCTAACAGAGACAGGAATTAAGCGTTAATAAGTAGAGGGAGGGTCTTATTTACTCATTTTGTTGCAAAACAGGCACATCCTACCTGCCTGGATTCAACAGATGTGAAGGAAACCTTGCTTCACCCAACAGGACGGAGAATTTTTGTTGGTCTTAAAATCCATGAAAATACATTGTGTTTTTCCTCCCATTTTGAAATGGTTTTTGTTGGTATGCTTTGGATGCAACTTAATATTTCTCCCATGCTGCTATCGTTCTCTTCCTGTCCATTTGGCGCAACTACAGAGCTCTTCGTACTTAGAGTCGTCGTTCTGTTTGTAGGCCTTGTCATTTGCATGAAACTATGCAAATATCCTTTCCGTTTGAGAAGCACATACACAGAAAGCACAGAAACCGGCTGTCTGTTTGGAAAGAGGCAAACAACCCATCTAGGGCTTCAAATTCTTAAAGGAGGCAGCCTTCTTCCTCGTTTTGGGGCAATTCGTGCAATTGTGCGAATTGTACAAATTGTATCATAGTGGACAAAATGCACGCTTCTTAGCAAGAAAAATAGGACTTGCCAATATGAGAACTCTCCTGTGAGTGTGTGAGGATATTCCTCACCTGTAAAGGGCAAGACAGGCCAGAATTTACATTCCAGCTCCTGAGCTTTGGGGACAATCTCTACTTTTGGAGGTCAGACCTAAGGGTGACCCACAGCCAGTACTTCACCCTCTAGAATTGCTGGATAGCTCCGTGGTTTAGATCTCTGATCACGGAGCTGGAGGTCAGCAGTTTGATTCCCCCACGGTGCTTCCTTGACAAGGGTTGGGCTCAATGATCCACAAGGTCCCTTTCTAAGATTATGGAGATAGATAGATAAATCAGCCAGAGGCCTTCGGGCACGATCCAGGATTCTATCTGACTGCAGGATGGGGAGAGAGTCCAACCTCTGAACGTGTGGTGAGCATTCCCCAACAGCAATGGCTGCCTAGGGTTGTGGGAAGAGAACATGGGAAAATGGGAAAATCCCGTAGGCCCTCCTACCTACTTAAGTCATGGTAGAAGGGGTTGGTCTTTAGTGTGTGTGCATTGCAGAGGTGTGAATGCTGCATCGAGAAACGAGTATACCTTTTTATATAACGTGATCAACCCTTCTCTCAGAGGTTCCACCGCCAGGCGCCAAAGCAGGGTGGGAGGTGTTGGCCACTGCTCAGAGAAGCAGTGGCTCATGGAACACAATCCACCGGGACTTTCTGCACAATTCATAAGCTCCCGCTTGCATTTAATCAGGGTGGCACAACCGAATTTGCAAGTTAGTTGTCCCATATAACTATTAATGTGTGTGTGTGTGTGTTTGCATTTAATCAGGGTGGCACAACTGAATTTGCAAGTCAGTTGTCCTATATAACTATTAATGTGTGTGTGTGTGTGTGTGTGTGTGTGTGTGAGAGAGAGAGAGAGAGAGAGAGAGAGGAAGAATGCCTCTTACATTTTACACTCCAGGCATTGGTGGGGAGGGAAGATGGGTCAGGCTCTCACTCAGATTCTTAGCAATTCTGTAAGGTCATCGCAGAGCAGTTCAAAGAGGAATCCTCCTCTTCCATCCATTTCCTCAAGGTGATCCATTATTAACCCAGCTCCTGAGCAGGCCATATGCTAAAGCCGCTACTTAATAGCTCTGCGCTTCCCAGGCTTGGCCTTCAAGTGAGTCGAAAATCACATTTTGTTCAAAGGAAACCACAGAGCAGCTTAATCTAAGAAGTGGAGCGATGGGGCCAGCAGATAAGAAAGCGTGAGCCAAAGTAGTTAAGGGGAATCATCTTGACCTCTGCTTTTTTTTTTAAAATCAGTCTGTGGCCATGATTTGTTACAATGAATAAACAGCGTTAAAGGTACAGTTTTTCTCTCAGTGCCAAATGCTGAGAGAAAACTGTTATTATTCCTATTTTATTGTTCGTTTCAACATTTAAGACAAATTTATACAAATGCTCTCAACACGATATAGTTTGCTGTAAGAGTGATACATTAACCAGTGTTTGGCCTTGATTAACAAAAGAAGACTCATACGCCATGAAGCAGAATCCGGCACCTGCCTCGGGCAGCTGACACGGAGATGTGGCATCACGGATGTTGGGGGAGAGAGCGTTACACCCCACAAGCGGTCTTGTACCCCATGCTGATGGAGGCAGAAGACCTCCCAATGTTGGATCAAGTTTCAGCTTTTGGTCCTGTTGGACTGTCAACTAGGGATGCAAGAAGGTTCTGCTCTTCAGGCCGTCAAATCTCTTGGGTGGCCCTGCCTGGAACGCTTAGTTGACTTTTTTCAAAATGTTTATCAGGTGCCCCATCCTCCATTTGATGGCTTTCTCTGTGTGGAAAGCTGGGTTCCTGGGCACCACCATGTGAAGAGGACATGCCAGTGGTGGGAAGGCCTAAGTGCAATGTGGAAGAGGTTACCGGGTCTCATGGTGCTGCTTGACATCTCATGAACGTACTATGCTTCCTCAAGGCTCCAGATGTTGACCTGGCTATCAAAGAAGTGTTCTTTTCCATCTCTAGGTTGCTGAATTGTTTGTTTCCCTTTGATTCAGAGCCTATATACTTGGGCTTCCCCCTCCTGCCCATAATGAGTCTACCCAGAAGCAGTTTTGTAGCCCTCCCAACCCTTCTCTGGCCTGCTTCTGGGCCATTAAAAGGACCCGATCCCTAGTCTCAGGTTTCAACCTTGGACCTTGTTAACCCTAATAATAATAACCACGGGCTGTCAATTCAATTCTGACTTATGACAACCTTTTCTCAGGGTTTTCCAGGTAGGGAAGACTCAGAAGTGCTTTGCCCTTCCCTTCCTCTAGGGGCAGCCTTGGGACAGTGCAGCTTGCCCAAGGCCTCCCAGGCTGGCTCTTCTCCCAGGAGGCACAAGTAGGGAATCAAACTCCCCACCTCTGGCTCTGCAGCCAGAGATCTACACCATGGAGCTATCCAGCCAGTTAACCCTTATAAGGCATTGAGCTATCCAGCCAGTTAACCCTTATAAGACCACCCTACTTGGTAGAGTGGGTATGACTGAATCCTCCTCTCTTGCAGGGCAGGCCTGCAAGAGGGGAAGGAGACAGAAGCCTATTGCCAAATACATGAAGTGTTAATCATATTTATTTTGTTACGGTGTTGAATTGAGGATTTGTGAGTTTTTTAACCCAGTGTAAACCATCCAGTATAGTGATTGCAATAAGGGGGGAGCTATGTAAACCAAATGAAAGAACAAAGTAGGTGCGATGCTTTCTGACCATCTTGCTGAGGTCAGACTGGGGCCATGATCTCCTTTGCCTTCTTACCGGCAGGTCTGCAAAGCTCATCCATTTCAGAAGCCTTGAAAAATGTGACCGTAAAACATTCAGGAAGTGGCAAGGACTCGAGGAACCTTTTATGCCTTTCTGTAGGATTTAAGAGAGGGGAGGGGATGGACCTGCAGGGAGATTCATTCCTGGGTATAGAATGCAATGCTTCTAAGGTGGAAATAAATTTTCTCTGCAGTGCATCTATATATATATTTTTTCTGAAAGGAAAATATTCTCACAATACTCCCATGTCGGTTTTCATGCTGAAGCAGTGGATCGATGCTTGATGGCTCAAGTTATCCGTCAAAGTTGTGGTTGACGTTGTGTGAGATTTGACAGCCGGAACACACAAGCTTGTATTGCAGTAGGCAGCATGTTCAACAACGGGTCTTGGTAATCAAATGGCCTGACAGAGCAGTGGTTCCGAACCTTGGGTAACCCAAGTGTTCTTGGACTGCAACTCCCAGAAATTCTGGCCAGCACAATGAGTGGGGAAGGCTTCTGGGAGTTTTAGTCCAAGAACATCTGGGTGACCTGAGGCTGGGAACCACTGATCTGTAATATTCCCGGGTTGGTGCCTTTGGTTCCCTTTAATACCCTTTTGGGCCAAATCCTCACCAAAATGGCACACGGCAAGCCAAGACTCACATGATGGCCAGCTGGAGCGTGAAGCTCTGTGGTTTCCTTACCTGCTGGAGCTGTGACAGGAAAGATTAAGCAGTGCGCTCAAGCACCATGCAGAGCTGTGATAAGCCGAGGTCCCTGCTGATCCCCAGCTTGCTGTGTCATGTGAATATAACGTGGTGTTGTGTCAACGGGCTATGCAACTCAGGACCGACTTTCCAGGATGTTTGGAGTGGGGCAAGTCAAGGGGTGAAACCATTCCCCTGGAAAAAAAAAATCCAGAAAGATTTGAAAACTTGCTTGCAGATAATTTCCCTCTTTAAAAAAAAGGGCATGCACCAAGTAAAGAAGGAATCATCCTTCTCCCGAGGACAAGGCTCCAAAAAATGTCTGCTGACATTTTTTGTCTCCAGGGGCTGGAGAGAAGGATTTTCCTCCCGTGGAAGCACAGCATGACTGACGGCCTCTTTCTTTGTTTTTCAAGCTGATCAGTGGCGGTTCTATTGTCAGCGCTGAGGCAGTATGGGATCACGTCACCATGGCCAACCGGGAGTTGGCATTTAAAGCCGGGGACGTCATCAAGGTCCTGGATGCCTCCAACAAGGACTGGTGGTGGGGACAGATCGATGATGAACAGGGCTGGTTTCCCGCCAGCTTCGTAAGGGTAAGTGATATCTCTGTTTTTGTCTTTCGCACAGCTGGTGTTCCTGAACTAATATCAATTCCTCCTGCTTCCATGTAGTTACGGTTGACAATAGGCAGTGGTGCCGATGCTTCCGACTTATGATGACCCTCATATGGTTTCTGAGATATATAAGATCTTCAAAACCTTTTGTCACCCCAACATGTTTCCATGTCTGAGAAGGGATTTGAACCCAACGCTCTTGAGTCTCAGCCTGACACTGTATCATCTACACCAGTGGTCCCCATCCTTGGGCCTCCAGATGTTCTTGGACTTCAACTCCCAGAAATCCTGGCCAGCAGAAGTGGTGGTGAAGGCTTCTGGGAGTTGTAATCCAAGAACATCTGGAAGCTCAAGGCTGGGGACCACTGCTCTACACCAGTGGTTCCCAACCTTTCCAAATGTTCTTGGACTTTAATTCCCAGAGGCCTTCACCCCTCTCTGTGCTGGCCAGGACTTCTGGGAGTTGTAGTCCAAGAACATCTGGGGACCCAAGATTGGGAACGACTGCTCTACACCGTATTTGCTGCCCATGAGAGGCTGATGAGAGGTTACTCTCCCCAAAGAAACATGGCGGAAACTGTGCTCTCCACCTCTTTTTGAAAATGCTTTTAAATTATGGGGATTATTCACTAATGTTGATATTTTCCTTCTCAATCTGGCTTTCTGACGATGTCAGGGATCTGCCTGGGCCTCTCAACCAAATGAACAGAGTGAAGTGACAATTAGTAAGAGAAGATTCTACCTTTCTACCCTAACCCTACCTGTGCCTCGTGCCTTATATTCTGGTAGCATCTGCCTCATCCTGAGATGCGTTCCCTGGAAGGGGGGTGGGGGAGAGACCATCAACATCTTTTGGGGACACAAGTGAAGATTGGTGTGTGTTTTTGTACTGTTAGATTCAGAACCATCGAAAGAATCTGCCTTGACACAAATTGAGAATCTAGGGAATTTCATGGCACCCCGGGCATGGTGAAATGAAATGTTGTCAACACCCTTGTTACCCTCACATTAATTTGTTTTACATAACTACATTGCTTGTAACTAAATACTTGTGGGCCGTAGCGCCTTGATTGTGGGAGAACGCTCCATTGGGCACCCACAAGGCATCATTTCGGTGCCAAGTCGAAGCATGCTTTGTTATTAGAGTGTGTTGGAGGTTGAGGATTGTGGCCTGTCATAGGACCCATCCACCCATTTTTGGCATTTATATAGCACCCGGTTAGTGCAGAGCATTATTCTGGGTGACTTTACCGTGGTGTTCATGTCTTAATTTGGTGCTTTGAAGTGTTGGGTTTTAAATCGCTGTCGGCCACTTAGGTTTTAAAATCATGGAACGCAACTCTTGCCCCTTGTCCTGAGATCCTGCAGTACAGAAGGTGGGCCATAAATGCATAAAGTAAAATGAAATAAAAACTATGAAGCTGCCAGTGATGCATATGCAATGCAAGGAGACACCCGTAGCTTATTCTCCGTACAGTTGCCTAACCTCCTTTTTAAAACTGGCCAAGGTGGCCTCGGTTTCCTCTTACGAAGGAACGGCTGCAGCCTCTCAGCAGCCTCCTGGTGCTTTATCCGCCTTCTCTTCGGCCACCTGGCTCAAGACCTTTCCTGGAGTGTTTTGTGTCTTCGCTTTCTCGTCTTCGCTCCTCACAAAGGAGCTCCTGTGGCTTTTACAGTCATGCCGTGGCCACGCTCCCTCCCAGCCGTAGAAAAAGTGCTGGTTGTTTGGAATGCTTCTCCCTCCCACACGGGTTGGTAGAAAACACAGAGCCGCTCACTGGGAGGCGAGCCCGCAGGGAAATGTTCTGTCAAGCCGACTACGGAGAAGGTGGCGTCCAATGCTCCAAGGAGAGCTGCCAGCGGAGACTCTTCCGCCATCTTTCCCTTCCAGGAGACGACAGGATTTTCTTTCCGTCTCCTAGCTGTTGCTCTGAATGTCTGGGCTGGGTGGGATGTTGTTTCTTTGAAAGGTGCTCAGGGGTATGGGGGTGATGGGGAACTGGGAACCGGAAGGCCTGGGGGAGTTCCCATGGACCCCCTGTATGCTGCATCCCTGTCTCTAGTGCTAGTCAGCTTAGCAAGGGAAATGCAGGGAACTGGATCCACGCTCTCTCTTCCTTTGCCAGGAAAGTGGCAAGAGAGGATTTGGCAGTGCCCTCCTTCGACCGGGCGCCTGCCTCCAAGAGCTTCTTTAATGGCATATCTTTCGAACTGGGCAGGTTTATCCATCATAATAGTTTGACAAGGGGATATAGGACAGCATCCTTCAAATATCTGAAAGGTAGTCCTACAGAAGAGGAGCAGGATCTGTTCTCGATCATCCCAGAGTACAGGACATACAACAGTGGGCTCAAGTTATAGGACGCCATATTTCAGCTGAATATCAGGAAGAACTTCTTAACTATCAGAGCATCACAGCAATTGCCTCTGGAGGTGGGTGAGTGCGCCAAAGGCCGTCAAGAGAAAATTGGGCAACCCTCTGTCAGATCTGCCTGGATTTAGACTCCTGCCTTGAGCAAGGGGTTGGATCCGATGGCTTTAGAGGCCCCTTCCAGCTCCATTCATCTAGGATTCTGTGGTTCTGAACCTTTATCCAAACTCCTGCAAATCCTGGCCCTTGACCATACTGGGTCAGGAGGCTGGTGATGGTTGGTAAAGGGGCTGAAAGGCCAAAGAGTCTGCTCTTCCATTCTTTCACAAAAAAGCAACAGGGACTCAGATTTCTCTCTTGAGCTGCTGGCTCCTGCGTGTGCAGAGATACAAGAAGGCAGAAGGATATAAAGACGCCTGAAGGATGGGAGGAGAATACTCCCCCTGCCCACTCATGGAGCTCTCTTCCAGAGCATTACAAGCCGATGGCCTGGAGAAGTCCAGGTTCCTCCCTCCTTGCTCATTAGGAGTAGGCACAAGAAGTAGACAGTGAGTAATATATTACCATTGGGGGAGTGCTCAGCACCCTGGTCTCTAGCCTCCCACTGCTCTCCTCTGAAGTCAGCTGTCCCCCAAGACATGGCTCTTGCCAATTGCACAATCCACTAGCATGCCCAGCCTGTTGCTGGCATGCTCTTGCAACACCAAGCGTCAGGTTTCCATCTCTTGGAGAGCCAGTCGCTGCCTTCCCACCTGAGATTCTTGTTCTCTCTTTCCTGCTGAAAATCACTCCTTTAATCTTAGTCCCTTCATTTAGCCCCATCCTTCCCACCACCACTAATGGCCATTATGCCAGCGGTCCTAGGCAGCAGCTTGGGTGTAACCAGGATCTTGAACTGTCCTGTTGGCTTCTCTGAGTGATGGAACCTCACTTCTCCCCCCATGGCAAGGGCTACCTGGCTACAATCAGTGTCTTATTCTTTGCCTCTCATAGCGAAATGTCTTGATCCAGGCTTGGAACTAGAGGTCAGGTCCCTGCTTAAGCAAAAATAAAAAAAATAAAAAACTCTGCAGAGTAGGTTCTCTGCAGTTGAAGCATAGCCGAATCCTTGCACCGTCATACTGATGTAAGGCTCTGGTCTTCGGTCGGACGCTGAAAAAGAGCACCGGAGCAGGGCCTTGTCGAAGCGGAGATGACATCTAATAAGGTACAAAAAGAGAGTGTGTCACCCCTAATTTGTCTCTTTGACTGCAGTGTTGTCTGAAGCCAAACATCAAGCAGGGTTGAGTGAGCAGGCAAGTCGAGCGAGCGAGATCGGTTTGACAGAGTTGCTACTGGGTCGGCTGGCCCAATTAAAACTGTACGGGATGTAACTCTTGGAAGCCCAAAAACACGGTTGAGTCATCATCACCGGAGAAAACTTCTGCAGCATTCCCCACCCCCAGTACCCTACACCTCTACTATAAGAGTGGTCAGAAATTATATGCAGGCTTTCATGGACCAGAAACAATTGGGAGTTAAACTACTTTGCAGGAATGTTTGCTGCTTGTCAGGTAGATAGACCCTTATCCCCTTTTTTGGCTCCCCGTCAAAAAGATCTTGCAGGATGTTGGTGAATGGGTCATCACATCATGATTTGCCGATCTGCTTTCTGGAACCCTCAGCCATGAGTTCTTCCACTGGACATTGGGGCATGTTACATGTTGTTAAACTTTTAGTTTTAAAAGCCAAGAGATTTACTCCTTCAAAAAAAAAAAACCCCTCTGTTTGATGCATCTGGGGTGCTGTTTCTGGGTCCACAATTTGGAAACAGCAGGAAATGGCCCAACATGCCCTGGCAACACTGTGCCTGTGTCGCCAGCAGGGGAAAAAAAGATGCCAAACTTTACATAGCAAAGGCCAGCCTGATTGTTGACATCACCAGTGCCAGCAGTCAAGATGGTCTGTGGGATCCCCTCTTGAGCTCACTGCCATTCATAAATGGACACCAGGAAGGGAAAATCCCAGAACCTGGCTCCTTCTTCCATTAGCTAACTACAACTCATCCAAGCATAAATCAACGACCGTGAGTGTGTTTTGATCAGTTCTCTGAATATTTACACACCTGGTGGGCCATAAGGGGGTAAATAAACACACACCTACATGCACATACCCATTCTTTAAGGTAATCCATGACAAGTGTTTCAGTAATATAGCTTTCCATCACATGGAATGAGACTTTCTTTCCTCTCCCCCCCTCCCCGACCCCAATGAAAACCTTTTTAGTTCTCGGTCACTTGCCAAGCCATCAGACACAAAAGTCTTCCTTTAAGCCTGCCGGCTAAAAGTACGGTTTACCCCCTTTGCGGCCGTGGTTCACGTTGACCCTGGCCTTGCCCCAGGAAGCCTCAGAATTGTGGAGGAAGTGGTTTTTAACCTGCCCGACTCTCCTTTTCTACCTTCGCTGCAGCAGGACATAAAAACAGAAGCTGACAGCCGTATTCTCCATGTTTCATTTCTGCTTCATCACCCAAGACATTAAAACTGACTCTTTGGTGCACTATCCTAGGAAAGGAACAAAGTGTGTCAGTTAGTCAGGAAATGGGGTTCTTATATAACTGGGTGGGAGGAGGAAATCAAAGGCTTTTTTCCCTTTTAGTGCTAGTTTGTTGTTTCACTTAAGTTTCTGCCTGCCCCAGTTTTTTTTGTTGTTTTTTTTTTTTTACATAGCCATAATGTCAGTAAACAATTCCAGTAAAATGCAGAAGGTTTCATGAGCAGGTATACATGTATATACTGAATAGTGAAGGAATGGATACGGCAAGAATTCCAATGCTGTGGAATTTTGCAAGAGGGCATGCAAGTTTGCCATCCGAAATCTGTTGCCGTCCTCCAGTGACACTCCCTGGAGGAAGCAGCCGGATGCGTCTCTGCACGATCCACTTTTTTTTTCCCAATAAGGCATTCATATGGAGTCTCTTCTGATTTCAGCTTTTCTATGATTTGTTATCAATCAATGGAAGGCATCCCGTGTAGAACTGCTGGATAGTTCTGGGGTGGAGGTCTCCAGCTGTGGACCTGGAGGTTGGGAGTTCGATTCCCCCCCCCCAGGCCTTCTGGGCGGGGGCTGGACTCAATGATCCAGAAGGTCCCCTTCTGGGCCGGGGCTGGACTCAATGATCCAGAAGGTCCCCCTTCCAGCTCTGCCGTTCTCAGGTTATTATTATTATTTCCTGCCCTTGCCAGAGACACAAGGAAGAAAGTGAAAGGCAAAATTAGAGTTAAGGAAGATCTGAGACCTTTTGTCTGAAAAGAAGTCGAGAGGGTGCCCACATTCTGTGTAAAGCCTTCCTTTTCAAAATAAGCTTGGAGAGATTCTTTGTTTTCTTAAGTTGTTGATTTATCGGGGGGGGTAGTTGCCCTGTTATGCTCTTAAGCTTATATCTTCATTTTATTGATTGTTTTCACTGATTATTTGTAATCAGTATCTGTTTCTTAGATTTCTCTTGTAAGGAATAGAGGAGATGCAGAGGGAGAAACAGCACGGGGATGCTACATATACGTTTGAAAAATAATGCAAATGAACTCTTACTGAAATACCATATGTAGGAGTTGTGAACATGAAGAGAAATTGAAGGATGATGGTAGAGAAAGTGTAAACTATTTGTTGTTATTTATTAGTAGCATTATGATCTCAGCTCTCTTCTAAAGCAGTGGTTCCCATCCTTGGGTCCCCAGATGTTCCTGGAGCCAAAACTCCCAGAAGCCTTCACCACTAGCTGTGCTGGTCAGGATTTCTGGGAGTTGTTGTCCAAGAATATGTGGGAACCCCTGTCCTTTAGGCCTCAGGAAGAAATGAATGTCCCAAACCCTATCTATAGCTTCCTGTCTGATGGTTAGAGAAATCTGCCACCTAGTGATTAAAGATGGTACTTCATGCCAGATTTTAATGGAAGTTAATTAACGCTTTTAAAAAATAAAATAGCTATGAGAGGTTTACTCCAAATAGTCCTGGAGCAGTGGTGGAGAGAGGCAAATCCACCTCATTCTCTATCATTACTCTAGGAGAAAAAAAAATCACCACAAAATGTCAGAAAAATTCTGGAAGATTTCCTTGGAGATTTTTCAAAGGAAAGAAAAATTATAAAATGAATTTTTTCTGCAAGGAAAAAAATAGAAGTTTTTTTCCTCACTTTCTTTTCAAGAACCTGCAAGAGTCGTATCTCTATCTGTGTCCGTGGCAAAGATTTTTTACTGTACAGTCAAAAGCCAAAGCATTACACGCATGTTTATAAACATATAAAAGACAGAGCTGCATTCCTCAGAAGTTGGGGCTGCCCAGATCTCCTTTCAGTTCTGGGGAACCCTGGTTTCTTTCTTCATGACATGTGAAGAGACCCCCAAAACTCAGGGTTCATACAGAGGAGAACCTTTCTGTTTTCTTCTCCACTCTATAGATGCCTGTCTGTGATAGTGCTTTTCCTTCCTTTCCTGGGTTTTATAAAAATGATGCCTGCTCTTTAAAAAAGACCATCCTGTCCTTTTTCTTTCCTGCATTTCCATTTAGGGGAGAGAGGGGCAAAGAAACCCTCTTTTAGGTTTCTTCTTCAAATCATGCTGGTGCTTTAAATCTGCTGCTCGGAAAATTGGCAGGCTGTCTTAAGATCTCCTATTCCTTGACCTTTAAAGCTCTCAGGAGGAAGAGAAAACACTGGCGTAGTGATAAAAGGAATGTTGTTTAGCAAAATATAACCATCGGCTGGGAGAAAAAAAAGCAGGGAAAATGCATTGTAGAGGAAAGGATTGCTAAGGACCCTTGCAAATTAAGTGCTTTGATGGTAGGCAACAAAGGCAGCCCCCAACAGCTTTGAGCTTACAATAAGTTAAGTTCTGAACACTGGACACCTGTGAACATCGGTTTCAATGCAGAATAAAATGTATGTGCTTTTCATAATTGCTTGGGCACTGAATATGAAAGTTTTTACCTTTTCTGCGAAAAGCGAGCAGAAAATTGCAATTGAAAAAAACAGCAACACAAAAACCGCAGGCCATGCTGTGTGCCTAGAGCTGAATTCAAAATAATGTGTTCTAATTTGTTTTGGAAGGGGGGGGGGTTGTCTGTTCATCACACCGTTTTAAGTTTAAAAATTCTGGGGCATTTTCAGATCGGACTGGGTTGATTGCTGACACTGGTCAGGTTTTTCAAAGAAAGAGAGGTGGCAGGGAAGGGATAAAACACACATATCAGCCCTGAAAAGTGATGCTGTTAATATGTTAAGATCTCATCAGCAAGACCTTTTTTAAAAAAAATCCCAGATGGGAATTTGTGCTCCCCGCACCTTTAAAAAAATCTATACGGTTCTAATATATACTTGTGGTAGCATGCACAGTTTAGCACATGTTCCTGTGCGATTAAACAGTGAATGTGTGAATTAAATTTTACAATGTACATGTTTTTAATTGCAGGTTTTTAAAACAACAATATGTATTATTTCATGTGCATTTCTTATTTTCCTGTAATAAATGGCAAGCAACGGAAATATAAGGTGCAAAATCTGACACTGATTCTTATTCTGATTGTTTGTTGGTCCTGCCTAGGGTAGACCCATTGAACTGACTCATTGCATTTTATCTCCTTGGCTAAGTCGGTGCTTAGGTAAGACCCATGGATTCAGTGGGTCTACTGTAGGTAGAACTAACCATTGAATTTCGGTCATAGGTATCTGACCCAGAACAGGCTTCATAGGGACTTGGGGTGGGTGTGGTATGTTTGCTGTTTCTGTGCATGCACCAGCCTATCAGCTGGGCAGCGCATGCACAGCCTAAGACTTTGGGTTTCTGTCCTGAGTCCCAAACCTTGGGAGGGGAGACAGGGCAAGTAACTCAAGACTTGGACCTTGAGGTTTGGGACTCAAGACGTAGTCCCAAGGACTTGGGACTTGAGCCTGAAGACTTGGACTTGGGACTTGAGCCTGAAGACTTGGACTTGGGACTTGAGCCCGAAGACTTGGACTTGAGACTTGAGCCTGAAGACTTGGGACTTGGGACTTGAGCCCGAAGACTTGGACTTGAGACTTGAGCCTGAAGACTTGGGTCTCAGGTTTCAAGACTTGCCAACATCCCTGGGAATGATATAGGTGAATGATCCCTGAAGATCTTGATTCCCTCTTCCCCCCCCCCCAACTATCCAGAGGACCCAAAGCTTGTCTTGGTACAAGCAGTGACAGGCAGTGACAGTGATCCTCAGAATGCCTCTTTTGCATAGCTAAGTTTGTCTCTTTCCCTTGAGTGTCCAAGGTGGAGGGGGGGGGTCACGTTAAGTGCTATGTAAGGTGCTTTGCATTTCATTCCATGCTCAGAAGCTGGTCGGAAGCTTTCAGTTCTTTGTTTCTTTTGAGCAGTTAGGTTTTTGTCAGTTGCAAAGCTGGGGGGTCCACAAAAGAAATGGTAGTACTGCCTCACCGGTCGGTCGCTCTGGTGTGTCTGCGGGTGTTTGTAAAAGATAACAGCATTACCCTTCCTGTCTACCGCTCATCTGCAAAAGTGTGGTTGAGTTAGTACTGGGGGAAATCCAGACATAAATAATCTCTTCCTGCTTTCTCTTTCCCCACCTTTTCTACCCTTTTTTTCATGTGGAAGTCAATAAATCTAAAAGGCAGTGTGGTGTACTAGATAGTATGGCAGCCTACGACTCAGGAGGCCTGGGTTCAAATCCTCGCTCAGCCATGGAAACTCTCTGATGACAGGAGTGGCACTGGTAAAACCATTCCTTAAATATCTCACATATCGTCAAAATCCTTCTAGGGTCACCCTGGATTGGATACAACTTCACTTAACAACAGTGGCAGCAGTAGATCACATACTTGGAAGGCAAACAAAATCTTAGGGCCTTAGCAGTCTAAGTAGCTACAGCAGCTTTGATCTCTTTCAGTCTCCTTCTCTCTCTGATCCAGATCTCTTACTCAAAGCTCCACTCTTTCTTAGTCCCACCCCTCTGGGCTGTACCAATATTTCATAGGGATTACACAAGTCACATGCAACCCACCAAGACCCTTGTTGCAACCTCCACCCTTCTCCCAGATTCACTCTCTCTTCATGAAAAAAAAACTAATTAGAGAAACATCCTTCCAGCAGCATCTAGAGAGGGCATGATTCTACCATAGAAGACACGCAGAGAGAGAAAGTGGCTAAAGGAACATTTCTGAAGAACGGAAGTCAACTTCTGTTCACGTCTGAATTCATTCATGCGATTGGGGTGTAGCCCGAACGGTCAGCATAGTCTGAAAAAAAATGAGGGTCTACCAAGAAAGATGAGATTATAAAAGGGCTTCAGATTCCACCTGAAAATGTTAAGATGGGACATCAGTGAGAGCTATAACAAGGGACAAGCGAAAGAATGAGTTTTCTAAAGCCATCACTAATATCATTTGCGCGTTCTTTCCCAACAGTTATGGGTCAACCAAGAAGATGGCGTTGAAGAAGGGACGAGCGAAGTACAGAATGGACACTTGGATTCAAACGCTGCCGACTGCCTCTGTCTTGGCCGGACCCTCCAGAACCGAGACCAGATGAGAGCCAACGTCATTAATGAGATCATGAGCACAGAGCGCCACTATATCAAACATCTGAAAGATATCTGTGAGGTAGGTTGGCCTCTCCTTGCTAGTTTTGCTAAAGTGAAATGCATATAAGGTCAGCAAGGGGACAAAATTGCCCCAGATCCATCTCCTTGCCCATGGGGCCGTCTTCGGCAAATCATGTTTATCAATGAAATATCAGAGAGAGAAGCAAACCCAGGTATAAGCATATGTGTGACCCCGTGGGAAATATTTTTTATGATATTTCAGCAAGATGTAGCCTGTTCCCTTGTGTACTGCTAAAATACCCAGCTCCATTGCAGAACCTGGAAAAGGTCGCTTTTAATGACAACTTCCATGATGCTGGTGGGGGATTCTGGGGGTTGTAGTCCAAGAGGACTGGTCACCCCCCCCCCCAAAATGTGGAATGAATGCAAAATAAGCTGCCTTACAAGAAGGCTAGGAGCTGAATAAAATGCAGTGAAATGTGAAGCCAATGGAAAGGAGGAAAAGGTTGCAGTTATTAATGTGCCTATAAAAATAGATATAACCGTCTTATTAAATAGATAAAGAGGGTCAGCCTTATCACCTGCACCGTGAACAGACTTCACAGGCCACTAAAGCAGAGACAGGGTTTCAAATAGAAAAGACAGATGGTACCTAGGTTTTAGGTCGATCGCTGGGGGCAGTCCTCTTTGCCCTGCAAGGTGACCCCCAGGGAGGAGGATGCTAAATCATCCTGTAGTGACATTCCAAGAATGCTTGGGTCGCTCTCAAAAAAAGACCGAAGCTTTGCTTTGCAGAGCCGAGGCAGCTGCTTTTAAAGAGGTCGTTTGGTTCCTTAATGGAAAGAAAAGGAAAAGCTGCCATTTACTAACCCTTCTGAAACTGGGTGACTCTGCTTACAAGTTTTAAGTGGACCATGTTCTAGGAGAGCTTCCCTGTAGATCTTGTTTCTGTGTGGTCTTTGCAACATGATCCCGGGAGAATATAGTTTAAAATGCGGTAAAGATGATGGGAAACTTTCTGAGACTTCCTATACATGTAAACGGCAGTGACAAAGTTTGTAGCATCTGATAAGTGAGCGGCATCATGCGGTGTAGAAGGAAAGCAGAGAACGGAACTTTTTCCTGCTCCTCCTCTTGCACACGGCTTTATAGCCCTCTTTTCTATGAGATACCCTTGACATCGAAGCTTGGAGCCGATGTCCCCGGGCAACTTAAAAACTGCATTTCTGGCCTCCACAGAATTGATCCCATGCATCTTCTTGTGTCAGACTCCAAAGGGACTCTTAGGTGGGTTTTCTCAGTGCAGCTGAAACATGCGAAAAACAAACAAATCATGTGCTATCAGAAGGGAAACCCCTGGATCCTTCTTCCCATGTTGTCCAGCAGAACCTGCCGACATTTGCGTAGATGCCCGTCGATGTACGGTACACGTCGTTTCAATCAGTACGACCCATCTGTTCACCTAGCAGGGGGAAAAAAACAGTACGTGGAGTGCTCGTCCTTATTTCTCTCCACATTCTGGTGTTTTCAAAGCAGCCAAGAGAAAGGGCCTTAAACCGAGGGAACTGAAGCTCTTGGAGGCTATAACTGGATCTCGTAGGTTGATTGTTTTGTGAAGCTGATGGCTCGGCTGGAATTGCTCCAGATTATGCCAGCCCACGCACGGTGTCAAGGCAAACACAGCGATGGCCGAGCCTCTCTCTCGTGTGCAGGGTGCTTTATTACCCCAAATGGAATTGAATGAGAATTTTCGCCAGGCGGCGGAGGGCCGACGGATCTTCCCGATGTTGTTTTAAACCAGAGGAGACGGCCACGAATGTTTCCATTTGCTGAAGTGATGAAGCCCGGCCACCGCTTCAGAAAAACTCATTTTGCCCAAATTAAGGGTATAACACCAGAGCCATGTACCTGCTCCGGAGAGAGGAGGGAACAAGAGGGAAGGGGGGGGCAGAGAGCTGGAAGGGAGACGGCTTACTCAGTGGAGAGTTCATCAGAATTGGTTGAATCCCCATTTCTCTGGGCTTAAGTGGAATCAAAAGGCCGTGGCCTGACCTCGCCATTGACTACTGCAGGGTCATTCAAGAGAAAATTGGACCACCTTCTGTCAGACCTGCTTTGATTTGGATCCTTGCACCAAGCAGGGGATTGGACCCGATGGTCTGAGAGGCCCTGTCCCACTCCATTATTATTGGATTCTATGATTACTTTTTTTTTTTTACACAGCAGCCTTTCAAAATCCATCAGCAGTTGGTCTTTAAAAGGCCGCAACATTCTTTGCTTTTGTTTCGTGCTTCTTGTTGAAAAGCTTGCAGGGCGTAACTCGGCGATGACTCCAAAAGTTGGGTGGAACAAGTGGTCTTAACTATAAGATAGTTTTTTGTATCCTGATCTATGTTTGTTTTACCTGCAGCTGTAGATGAGCTGGCAGGCATTCTTTCTCATTTGCATGGAAGTCTGAATTTAAATACAATTCCCTGCATGTTTCTCATGAAATAAACATCTAGAAATGTTGCTTGGATCCTTCCTGACGCTAAATCCGGTGCTATCTCCACAGAGTTTCAGGCTTTCACAACTAGTCATTTCTGTGAATGGCATGAGCCACACCTATGCCACTGCGAAGGCATTTCTGTATAAATGGCTAGCTAGCTCAGTGGGTTTGAGCACTACGAGAGCTAGGGATTGAGAGTTTGATTCTCCGCCATGCCTTGTAGGGGAGGAGCTGTGAGGCCTTGGACAAACTCTGCTATCCCAGATGTAATTTAAAACAAAAAACGAAAACATTGGGGACCTCCCTTCCTTCCAACTCACTGAGTAGATGCTCAGTGGGTTGGAGGAAACATAAGGTGGGCTGACATGCACAGTATTGGCAGGTCAGTATTTTCTTTAGCGTGCAGGATACCTTGGAGAAAGAAGTTGTGATGCTACTTAGGGTGACCCTCTTCTCTTAAGAAGCAAATGTCTCCTCTTCTTGGAAAGAGACATGATTTCTCCAGTTTATCTGGTCAAAAATAAACAGGAGAAGTTTTTTTTTTGTCTGCTGCTCCAAGCTAATGTGGACTTTAAAAAGGAAAAGGGAAGATCATCCAGGAGATCTTAAATCCAGCAAAAGAACTGCGGCTTCTCCACCAACAGATGCATCGCTTCAATTTCCAACTCCTCAAAGCATGGAGAAGTTGATGAATGGTGATAGACTACGTCACATCTCCCGGCTCCTTGCGTCTAAGGCTCTGGAAAGTTAGCACTTAACCTCCCGCAAAGACTACTCAGCTTCCCACGATACCAGGGGGGTTACATGAAAAAGTACTTGAGCACAAAATGGTTGGGCAGCTATTTATAGATCAACCTCTTCCAGTGCCTGATTGTTGGTCAGTCATCTGTCCCCTGAATCTGAGCAAACTTGACAGAATGAGCCATGGATGTATGACATTTTCCTTACGTAACTAAAGTAAATATACTGGGAAGTCAATGCAGAAACCTTTCTAGGCGATTCTGAATGGGTACCCGATCGATTTGCCATTCAGCATTGAACCCCCAAAGCTTCTAAACAAAATTGCACCCCAAGACCCTGTGACATATCCACTTATATATTCTCTACACCAGTGGCTCTCAAATTGGGGTCCCCAGATGTTCTTGAACTACAATTCCCAGAAGCTGTCACCACCTGCTGTGCTGGCCAGGATTCCTGGGAGTTGCAGTCCAAGATCATCTGGGGACCCGAGGCTGGGAAGCACTGCTTGTACGTGAGTTGTCTCCCATAAGCTCTTTGGTCTGCTCCAGCAGTGGCCATACAGTGGATCGTGTGTCAACGCGTACGTGAATCTTGTTGATTCAGATGGGTCTGCCATAGATGGGGATTAAAAACCAGGGTTACCATGGAATTAAAAGGGGCACCAAGGTTTATGCCACTCAATTTTATTTAGCAAAAATTTGCTGCTAAAGCATCAAAAACCCATCCAACCTGTTTCTAGAGGTCTCAAAGGACGGAGAGCCCACCACCTTCCAAGCTACTCTTGTTCTACTGTCCAGATAGATCTTAGCTTTGGGAAGCTCTTCCTTTTGTTGGGGTCTTCTTTTGTTGTAGCCTAAGGCCATCACCCACCACCTTCCAAACTACTCTTGTTCTACTCTTGTCCAGATAGATCTTAGCTTTGGGAAGTTCTTCCTTTTGTTGAGGTCTTCTTTTGTTGTAGCCTAAGGCCATCAGTTCAGAACCTGCCTTCTGGACCAGCAGAAGACGGGCTTGATCCATCTCTCATAGAGGTGGGTAAGACCGTTGAGGCAGCTCCATGTTGAGTTGAGCAAAGCTCAGTCCCTACAGCTGTTATTGGGCGTCCGACTCCCATAATGCCTCGTCATTGCTTATGTGGCCAGTGCTCATGGGAGCTGCCGTCCATCAATGTCTGGATCCCTGATCTAGTTGAGAGCCCCCTGCTCCTGTCTCTGTCCAAGAGTGCTACTTCTTCTAGCATCCATGGTGCAAGGTGGCCAGCTATGATTAGACAAACCATGCTGTCAGTAGCATGGATTGCCTTCTTTTCCTTGTTAGGGTCTCATTCACCGGTGGCCCTAGGGCCAGCCCTACCATTAGGAGCATGATGTGGCCGCCGCGCGTATCAAATACCAGAAGGCAGCAGTAAAAGCTATTAAAGCAGAGAGCTTGGAGGAGAGAAGCCAGAGGAGTAACGTACAAGGCTCAGCAGAGTTCATGAATGTTTTCCGAGGTTGAAAATCCAACCCATTTGTACGAACCTTGGGTGGAGAATGTTTTTAATGCGTTATCTTGTCATTGCATTAATTGTTAATGTTAATGTGCGAAGCCACAGGATCGACAGCGAAAACGGCTTGTGATCTTTGGGTTGACACGGTTGCCCAAGGGCAGTTACACTTGTCGTTTTGAAAGGAGTGCAATGTTGCCCTCTCCGTGGCTGTTCTGTATCTTTCCTTGCCAGGGCCTTCTGGGTCCCGATGGGCGCCGTGCCTCACTGCCGTCCTCTCCCCTCCTCTCCTTCCAGGGTTACTTAAAGCAATGTCGGAAGAGGAGAGACATGTTCAGCGATGAGCAGCTGAAGATCATCTTTGGCAACATTGAAGACATCTACAGGTTTCAGATGGGCTTCGTGCGGGACTTGGAGAAGCAGTACAACAACGAGGATCCCCACCTCAGCGAAATCGGGCCGTGCTTCCTGGAGCATGTAAGTGGCAGCCTGAAGTGTGTGTGTGTGTGGGGGGGAACAGCCCAATACGAAGGATGTGGCTCCTGTTGTCCCCATTATACATGGAGAGGGTGACTGGGTGGCCGGTTGGATCTACCTTGAGTCCTTTGGGAAGCTGTAAGATCTTTCACCCCACCTGAAGGATTAAGGAGATAGGACAGACTATGGAGCTCGTTTCTGCTTCCAAGTTTATTTTTTATGTATCGCTACAGTGCAGGAGGACCATGCCAGAGATGGACATGGACTCCGAGTCTCAGAATCCCACTGTCAAGCATGGATTCTGGTCATTGTAGTTCAGAAACACAGGTCTCCTGACTCTGAATCTCACCCAGGCATGGGAAGGAGAAAGATGCTAACACCATGCCTTTTGAACCATGGAGAACCCCAGTTGCCCGGTAATTCTTATGTGGACTACAACGCCCATAACCCCCCAGCCAGCATTGTCATGGAGGGTTGTTGAATCTTGAAAGGAACCGGTTGAGTGGGCCTTTTAAGAAGGCCGATGCATGCCTGCAGCGTTGTCTGGGGGGGCTCTAGAGGGTAAGCCGCCGAAGAGGAATGAGAGCGCACATCTCCTTGACTCATGTAAATGCATGTGTATGCCCATTAGGACACCATGGAGTGCGCAGCAGCTGGGTGCCTTGGCAGCAGGAGGTGGCAAAGTTTTGTTTTGAAGAGTTCTGCCTGATAACATAATTTGGGATAATTAGGCTCTCCCTCCTCCCCTCCCCTCCCCCTGCACAGATCCCTCTTTAATCCAAACAGCCTCGTTTCTTTTGAAACATGTGACGAGACCCAGGCTGTGTCAAAGCTGATTCATCCTCATTTTCTCCCCCTAAATATAAGTTGCCAACGCACAGCAACCTTTTCACTCCCTGCGTTCTTCAGACTGAGAAAGTGTTGCTGGAGCCAACTCAAAGGATCTGTCAGGATTGCGTAAGAGATGATGACCTTGCCCATGGTATGGTTCAGTTCAGTGTATCTACGTTCTCTGCGCTATAGCTCGGTGCCTGCGGTATACCAAGTGTGGTGTAGTGGATAGAGCGACAGACCAGGACTCAGGAAGCCGGGGTTCAAATCCCCGCTCAGCCACAGAAGCTTGATGGGGGTGTGGAACTGGCAAAGTCACTCCATAAACATCTCACTTACCTTGAAATCCCTGTTACGGTCACTTGAGTCAGATCCGGCTTGACAGCACATAACATAACATGTGCATATAATATCTGTACTTTTATTTTGCTCTGCTTTACCGGAAATTTGGAGGGACGTGGTGGTGCTGCGGGCTAAACCACAGAAGCCTCTGTGCTGCAGGGTCAGAAGACCAGCAGTCGTAAGATCGAATCCACGTGACGGAGTGAGCTCCCGTCGCTTTGTCCCAGCTCCTCACCAGCCTAGCAGTTCGAAAGGATGCAAATGCGAGTAGATAAATAGGTACCACCTCGGTGGGAAAGTAAAATGGCGTTCCCTAGTCACGCTGGCCACTGTGACAACAGAAAGTGTCTTCGGACAAGCGCTGGCTCTACAGCTTGAAAAACGGGATGAGCACCACCCCCTAGAGTCAGACACGACTGGCCTAAAAAATGTCAAGGGGAACCTTTACCTTTACCTGAAATTTGGAGATTTTCTAGACTCCAAAACTTGCAGAATTTTAGACAGTTAGTATCAGGGGTTTTCATACTGGGCATCTTAAAAATCTGTAGGTGGGAGGGAGGGAGGGAGGAACTGGAGTGATCTGTTCCCATCTGATTCAGTTTCTGAATATATGCTGTATTCGAAAATTTATCTGGAAAATGAACTAATTAAGGATATTTGCATATTTCTCAAGTGACTGATTTCAGATCCTTTGAACTAATTTCAGAACTCAGACAGGTGAGGACAGAGGGAATAGGCAATGTAAAGAGAAGCAGGCTCCCTGCATTGCTCTTTTAAGAAGGAATCAATGAGAACTGTGCCCATTGCCCTTTTAAACTCCTTCCCTCACTCACTCCCCAGTGACTGCTGTTGGAAATCGACAGGGATTTTCCTCCTGGCACTGGAAGGAGGAAGAGGAATAAAAATAAAACAATGCACACCCACTCTGCAACTAATCTTCAGCCCTAATCAGAAATGCTTTTGTCCTTCCTATACCACTTGGTTGGTAACCTGGCCTTGCTACCTACAGAAATGGGGTTGTCATGGAAAAGTGAAAATGCACAGATAATGTTGTGGTTCCAAACTAGGGCTGGATTGGAGTGTCATCCCCGATCCCCATATTAATCAGACACAAAGCAGGAAGGGGGAGCAGTGCTTCTCCATGCTATTGTGTTAGCAAGGGGGGGGGAGAGTTGTAGGCATAAACGTTTGGAAGGCCAAAGGTACCAAAACCCCTCTCAGACAGACAGACACACACACACACACACACACACGCATAGGGGGATCAAAAGGCTCTCAGGCATTCCACTCCACCCTTCCTTCCATGTTGGGCCAAAGGTACCAGACCCCCTCTCAGACACACACACATGGGGGGGGTCAAATGGCTCTCTGGCATTCCACTCCACCCTTCCTTCCATGTTAAGTAAGCCATATGTTACAGGACCTGATATATTGGCCGCTGTTGCAAATATGTCAAGAAAAATCACATGGTCTTGCTACCTCCTCCTCCTCCTCCTCCTCCTCCTCCTTCACTTTTCTCCTGTGCAGTCTTGGCAGTTATATAAGGCCATGCTGCTCTCTGGGATCCTGCGTCGTCTCCTTCTGTGTAATCACATTCTTTTCAGCAGCAGCCTAGCAGGGCTACCTTTTGCACTGGCGTCAGCCCTCTGGATTTTCTTGAAGAACCCCACGGGCGATGCTCATGACGCATGAAATGAGCATCACGGAAGCCCTTTGCGGCTCAAGAGGAGGCTTCTCGTTCTGAGGGTCGGGCTCAGCTTTCTGGGATCCGGCTGCAGCAGTCGCGCTTCCCTCTGAGGAAGAGGACTCTTTTATTTAAAATAAAATGCAGAGGAAATAAAGGGAAGTGGGAGCTGTCACAACCCATCTGTGGACATGATGGTTTTGCTCCAAGCTGGGTTTTGGGTTTTTTTTTTTCCCTCCCTCACCAAAGGTCAGAAAGTTTAACTTCAGCTGTCAGTTTCCCAACCGAGAGGCAAGGAAACAGTTTGACAGAACTACCTAAGAAAGGGAAGCGGGGCAGAAACCTGGAAGGAACCGCGTGCGTTCCTGCATCCAGAGGCGGTTTCGTTCTTTTGACAGCCCTTGTTCTCAACCAAAACTAGACGACCAACTACCTTGGCCGTTTACCCTGCAGCAGTTTTTGCAGGACCGGGCACAGATGGATTTGAATTCAGACCCAGTGACGCCACACTGTAAAGATCAAAATGAAGCTGCATGTTGAGGAACCATCTTTTTTATATATAGTGGAGAGTTGTCTCTATTGGTTTGCTTGCTTTCTTGGCAGGCAGGGGTGGTTTACCTTTGTTCCAATGGGTTTAACGTTGCTTTGGTCTGCATTCTGCCCAGTGCGATCGCTTGAGCCAAGGGGGCTCTTCGGAGGGTGTCCCTGGTCTCCCACCAGCCTTGTTGAAAAGGCTTTGACCCTGCAAGCCCTAGATTGAGTATACCCCTTCCCCGTAGCCACCCACCCACCCCCACCCCACCCATTAGAGGCCGGGAATGGAGAAGTGTGGGAGGCTGCAATCATAGCCTTCCTAAGAGGTTTCCAGATGGGACCGGGTGAGGGGGAACCAAAGTGGAGAATCAGGTGGATCCTTGGATCTTGCTGAGTTTTGCCATTTTCATGGCACTGTGGTGGTCTTGGGAAGAAATTCCTCTTTTTATGTACTAGAACAGCCTGCACACGGGGGTGGATGATGGATGTTGGAAACCATCATATTTCCAAGCTCTGATCGTCACGGTTGGTGAGCCTTCGGCATCCCAGATGTTTTGGGCGACACCCCCCAGAATACCCAGCCTGTGGAATCGTCGTCAGAAACATCTGGAGTTCTGAAGGTTTGCCACCCCCATCCTACCTCCTTAGGTGCTCTCATGAAGAGACCTCAGCTCACTTAGGGTTCACTGATGGAGCAGCCTCTTAGCTCCTTGTTGCCATCTTGAAAAATCTTCTGTGCTGACCCATAATATCCAAGGTACCTCATCAACTTCTCTCCCTCTCTCTCTCCCCCACCCCTGTTTTCCTTGGCCCACCTCCTGTAGCAAGATGGCTTCTGGATCTATTCGGAGTACTGTAACAATCACCTGGATGCATGCATGGAACTCTCCAAGCTCATGAAAGACGGACGGTACCAACACTTTTTTGAGGCGTGCCGTCTCTTGCAGCAAATGATTGACATTGCCATTGATGGGTTCCTATTGACACCCGTGCAGAAGATCTGCAAATACCCCCTGCAGCTGGCTGAACTGCTCAAGTACACTGCCCAAGACCACAGGTACATCCATATCGGTGTCTATTAGTAATAACTCCTAGCCAATGTCCATATCGGTGGCAATCATGGGCTCGTTCTGGTGGCCCCATAGGCAGTGGGTTGGCCACTGAGACAACACCTGAATGCTGGATGAGATAAGTCTTCAGTCTGATCCAGACAAACAGGGCCCTTCCCATGTTCTCATAGATTTCTCTGCTAGCACAATCCTTGAAACCATGTGCCCCAAACAGTGTTGGGAAGCTGGTTCAGAACCGGCCATTTTGTTTTAACCATGGACAATCCTATGAGAAAGGCATTGAATGGGGCTTCAATGGAAGCCCCCAGAGCGATCGTTGCTAACTGCTACAGCCCATGGCTGGTATTACCCACAGAAGAGCCGAGCTTCTAAAATGTAATTCTTTTGAACTATCATGCCCTAAAGTCCACACCAACGTGCCGTTCTAATCCAAAAGAGTATCTTCTCCCAGTTGTGCGTTGAAGCAAGGCAACTGGAGGGCACCTGGCTGGTTTCTCCCTAACCAGGAGAAGACAAAAAGATGGTCACCCTCTGTGGAGGTGACCCTTCTCTCTTCCAGTTCTTCCCCCACCCCTCAAAATGCTGGGTTTTTTTTAAATCCAACCCAGGGACTGAGTTCATTTGCAAGAGTCAAGAGTTCACAGCCTGACTCCCTTGCTTTATTTTAAATATTTATATGGCCATGCTCCTTGCACTCAAGGTGGCTTCTCTCCTTCTTCACGGGGCAAGCCAGCTTTCCCTGAAACCATGCAGACAGCTTTCCCCAGCGGTCCCCTGTGTCTGCTTGAGGTCGTAGAAGGAAATTCATCCAGTGGTGAGGAAGGCTTGGTCATCAACTCCAAATCCAGACTTGGTGAGGAGTCCCCCTATCTTAACTAGCATCCTCTGTTCCAAAAACTCAGCCTTTGGTCTACTTCCCAGAATCCTCTAGCCAGCATGGCTGCTATGCATTCTGGGAGACACGGTCTGGCTTCAAGCACCAGGAGTTCTGCCTACGTTACAGACACCCAAGTGTGACTCCCCTAGAAGAATGGCCTCAGTGGGAAGGCTTTGAGGCTGAGCTAGGCCTAGCTCTGCCCAAACTTCCTGTTCCTGCCCAGGTGCTAGCTGGGAGCTTCTTTCTGAACAGGAAGCTAGGCATTGCTAGGCCTAGCTCAGCCTCAGAGCCTTCCAATTGAGGCCCTTCTCCCAGGTGAGCCACGTCATTCTCCATTCTGGGAGTCCTACATGTCTGACAGTCAGGTGAGGACTCCCAGAATAGAGAATTATGTGGTGGATAGTCCAAAAAATCCAAAACTCCCATCTCTAATAATTATTCTGTAATCTTCCAGCCATATGTATTTATTTTTAAAGACACTATCCAAGGCATTGGCTTGGAAGGCAGATTGCCGGCCTTTCTATCCCCACCACCACTACCCGTTAGGGAAGGATAGGTTGGCAAAAAGCCTCATCGTCTTTGTCACTCATTGAAGCGCTGGAGAGAAGCCACGTCTTCCCCCGGGGGACCAATTTCATAGCATTATTCTCCATATGGCCCAGCCAATTGTCCTCCAACATTTTTCATCTGTCATTTCGCTCGTTCAGCTGAAGCTGTAGGCCTCGTTCCGAAATTCTCCTTTTATTAACGAGCGGAACGAGTCAGCTGGGTCGCGACGTCTCTTAAAAGGACACATTACCGTGAGTGGATTTGGCTGGAAGAGGATGCCAAGCAGATGTGGCGGCGGCTGAAAACAGTACCCTGGGGTCACCTCTTCCAGCGCTCTCCCTTGCTGATATCTAGAAAGACAAAATGTGGGATGAATAATGCAAATAGCAGCCAACATGATTAAACATCTTACCACTCCAAGTACACATGAACGTGCTTGACTTCAGAAGCTGAGTAGGGTGCTGCCTGGTTATTATGGGGCATCAGAGATCCCCAAGCGGAGAGCCACTCCTCTTTGTCAGAATTGTCTGGGCAAAGCACCCCAAGGCTCTGACTCAATATTAGACAGCTTGCTATGATGTTAACAAAGGCAGTATGGTACCCGGTATACCACAAAAGCAAATGTCCTTATTCAAGCCAAGTCTCAGCGGAAAGAAGCTCATGGAAGGGAAGGCAGATAGTAGACCCAGCTGGTGCCTGCCATAGCCTTTCTCACCACTAGGGGGCGGTGCCACCTGATGATTGGAACTGGGCAGGCGTCAGTTTGCCATCTTGTCACTCCCCTTTGGCACATTTCATTTTTCTTTTGGCTGGAAGTGCAGTATCCCCACATTTCTCATTGCACCACTGACCTTAGCTTCCAAAATCGAGATGTGTTTTTTTTTGGGGGGGGGTGAAGTGTTGGTAGGGAGGACCAACATCCCATGAAGATATAAGGGGTCCCAGGTTTGGCATAAGCATTGCTGGGGGACCCTTGCTCCTTTGGGAAGCATGGGTCAGCTGGAACAGGTTGCCACTAGAACAAGTTGGACCAAGAAAAAAACAGGGAGCTGTCCGCTCAGAGGCTGCTTCGCTTTTTTCCCCATTAGTCAGCTGTCAATATCAAGTCCTGAGTTCATGACAAACTGTGCTGAGCACAGAGAGAGCAGCTGGCGTTGCCAGTCTCTCCAGCGAAAACGAACCCTTAGTCTCTCCTGGAATGGACAGGAAAGCGTCAGGCGGGGATCAATGGCATTGATCCTGGCCTCACTTTTTCAAAAGTGTGGTCATTAGTGGCCTTCCTGGCCTTGACAGGAGGCTATTATCTCTCTGCGGGATTACACGGACACACAACTGAGAAACAGCGCTGGGTTTTGACCAGACAGTTCAGCCCGCCTGCTGGGAAAGCAAAATGTTCCGGGAAGGAGATGACAGCGCATGGAGATGCCACCGCCGATGGACCTTTCATAGCTGAAGACTGCAATGTGTCGTTCTCCTAGCTTGGGGACCCCAGGATCCCTTACTGCTGGCGTCTTGGTCTCTGCCAGCTCCGATTCTTGCAACCTCTGAACATGGATATCCTGTTGCAGTGGTTCCCAGCCTTGGGTCCCCACATGTTCTGGGACTGTAATTCCCAGAAATTATTCCAGGATCAGATCTAGCCCCACAGGTATTTTGGGTCTCAGTGCAGTTTGCTTCAGGCGTTGGAACGAGCAACAGCTTAAGATCTAGGGTCTCCAGGTCTCAGAGGACTGGCGAATGGGTTAGGGCTGTGCTTCCCAACCTTGGCTCCCCAAAGCTTCTCAAACTACAACTCCCAGAAATCCTGGCCAGCACAGCTAATGGCAAGGGCTTCTGGGAGTTTTGGTTCCAGAACGTCTCGGGATTCAGGTTTGGGAACCATTGTTACGAAAAGTAATCAACCAGTACTTTAAAAAGAACTAAAACAATTTTAAATGGTTTGACAATTTAAAAAGAGGAAAGCAACTCACCCCGGCCACCACCAGTGAGCAGAAGGTTTGGAGATTTCGGGATCTGAAGGTTTATGCCCTGCTCTGTAGCTGGGAAGGCTCTCTGAGCATAATTCATGTCATTAAAAAAAAGTTAAGGCAGCCCCTGCCCTCCAGCTGGCATTCTGAAAAAGGCATAACATGAAAGGAAAGGGGGAGGAGGAGGGTAAAGGGAAAAAGGGGAAAAAAGTGCTCAGCCACAGGGCCTTGTGTTAAAAGCATTCTTCGGTTCAGTGCAAGGTTGCTGGGTGACAGAGAAACACGTCCTAATGGAGCTGGTTTCCAACCCTGTGCTTTGCAGGCTGCTTTTAGTGACTGTTCTTTTCCCCTGTTCTTCTGCCCAGTGATTACAGGTATGTGGCTGCAGCCCTTGCCGTCATGAGGAACGTGACCCAGCAGATAAACGAGAGGAAAAGGAGACTGGAAAACATTGACAAGATTGCTCAGTGGCAGGCGTCCGTTCTGGACTGGGAGGTAGGTTGCTCCCCATTGTCTAGTACGAGACATGCGTCATCTCCCGAACTTGGGAAGGTCCGGGTTTGGGGGGAATTTTTTTGGACTCCACCTCCTCCAGTCATGGTGGATGTTATTGTTCAAAAAGCAATTCTTTCCTTCAAACTCCCTTTCTTTTTTCAAAGGCTGCTCCACCAAGAGGTAGGCAGGTTTGGTTTGGTTTGGCTTACAGGCCCCAGATGGGGGACGTGGTGGCGCTGGAGGACGTGGTGGCGCTGTGGGCTAAACCGCAGAAGCCTGTGCTGCAGAGTCAGAAGACCAGCAGTCGTAAGATCGAATCCACGCGACGGAGTGAGCTCCCGTCGCTTCTCCCAGCTCCCGCCAACCTAGCGGTTTGAAAGCATGCAAATGCAAGTAGATCAATAGGGACCACCTCGGTGGGAAGGTAACAGCATTCCGTGTCTAAGTCGCGCTGGCCATGTGACCACGGAAGATTGTCTTCGGACAAAACGCTGGCTCTATGGCTTGGAAACGGGGATGAGCACCGCCCCCTAGAGTCGAACATGACTGGACAAAAAAAAATTGTCAAGGGGAACCTTTACAGGCCCCAGAATCTTCCAGGCAACATACCTCCCAGTTGTGGGAGTTGCGGTTCAAAAACATAATTTTGCATGCCTGTAATTTAGAACTTCTCTGCACAATGCATCGTGATGTGCCATCAAGTCAATTCTGACTTAGGGTGACCCTTTTTTCAGAGTTTCCTAGGTAGAGAGTACTCAGAAGGGCATTACCCTTCCCTTTCTCTAGGGGCAACCTTGGGACTATGCAGCTGGCCCAAGGCCACCCAGGCTGGCTCTTCTCCCAGGATGCCCAGTGGGGGAATCGAACTCCCAGCCTCTGGCTCTGTAGCCAGAGACCTAAACTACTGAGATCTCCAGCGAGCATTTATAAATACATCACTAAAACCACAAACCCCATGAATCCCTAGGAGAGAGCCGTAACAAAGTGCTATCAAGCTGCTATAACTGTACAGTCCAGACACACTTCTTGCTTTATTGTGCTAATTTGCGTTGCCCATTTAACATGTTTGTCCTCCTTTTTTGTATTTTCACACATTAGAGTTAATGGGTTAGATCCGGACTTAGTTCCACGTAGTTAAACACGTCTTGGGAAAATGATATGCACACAAGGGGATGTACACACTTTGAAATGAGAATTAGAGGTGGCATGAACCACTGGTCTTTGGTGCTTCAAAGCCCCGCCTCCTCTAGCAGGCGCCCACTCTGAGGCAGTGCCCTGGTTTCTCTGCCCTGCCTCCTCCAGACACAGCCTTTGAGTGGGTGGTTGCCAGAGGAGGCAGAGCTCTGAAGCACCAAACACCTCTTCAGCCGTTAAACAAACTGGCACGAAGCACCGAACTGTAGGTTTGTGCCCATCTCTAATGAGAATTATTAAAAGGCATCCAGTTAAAAAAATATAAGTACAACCCAAGCTGGACCTCTGGATATTCTTACTGACCTAAGTCCCATTGATAGCAATGGCTATGGTCTAAGAAGGGCTGAGTCTGATTCCAAAGCAATTGTTTTAATTTGTGCCACAGGATAGGTATCGCAACAACCAGCATGTGTTTATCTTTGAATCTATACAGGGATCACATTAAAAGAATGACATGCTATGTAGTGGACGGGGTGCAAAAGAAGAGGAAAAGGGAATCAGAGGATCTGGGTTCCAGTTCTCACCCAATCTCATCTGATTTTTTTACAGTAGCCAGATAGAGGCCATGGTCATCATTTCTATGCTTTTAACGAGGACTTTCTGAGACGTCAGAGCTGCTAGGTCATTTCCGTTCTTTCTCTCCCCATATCAAAAGGGTCAATGTCTGTATTGCTTTTCTCCCACAGCGCAGGTGGTCCTTTTGGTTGGGTGCAGAGTTTAGAAACGTTACTTTTGGCACTCCAGGTCCAAGAAGCTGAGGTTCAGACTGTGTATCTGGAAGGCTGCTCTTTCTACCCAAATTTGTCCTTTGAAAAGGGAGCTAAGGGTGGTTTTTCTTTCACGAAAGGATATGGCTGGAACCAATTGTTGCAGGGCTGCCTCGCTTGCAGGTTAATTTCCCTTAAACCCTCCCCCCCCCCGGAGCAAACCCGATGCTAGAGGGGATGCTGCACCCCGGGGCCCCATAACCCACATGTGGACAGATCCCAAGCCTGCTAAGTACTCCGTTCTGTCTCTCCAAAGCGACAGCTTTGCATCTGAGGATGATGGCAAAAGCACCCTCGTCGGAGCCAGGCTGTTTGCCCTGGTTGTGTCATCCTCTGTATTTATAGTTTGCTAGGCCCTGGAGGTTGTTCTGTGAATCCCACAGTTTGAAGGTTAAATTTGGGGCTCAGCCTTTGAAAAGCAGAAATACCTGCAGGGTAGATGGATAGTGGTTTTTATTTATTTATTTATTATTTATTTATTTATTTAGGTCCGTCAGATCATTTAGGTCCGTCAACCATTTAGTTGTGCCCCCCCCCCGAGCTGATCGGCTCTTTGTCTTATCAAGATGTAGCCTAAGCTTCTCAGGGCTGCGAAATCAACCGTGTGGGAAAAGAACCTGGGGAAAGCAGAGGTAGATAAGGCTCACTCATCACAGGGGAGATAGCATACACCCTCTTAAGTCGGTTTCCCTCAGAATTCTCCTAAGAAACCACAAGTTCTGCCTCCTCAGTGAAGGGCCCTCTAGATATTTTAGCTTCCTATCAGTCCGCTGGCATTGCCAGTGATCATGTGTAGACATGGGGGTATGAATACAAATCATTGCACTGCAACTGCCACGGAGGCCCATTCAGTCTCTAGGAACCAGCCGGTCCGCTCACTGGCCACTACGCAGCACTAGGGGTCCTTTGATATTGTCGTCCCGCCAATCCGGGAATCCAGATGGCACTTCCCTGCCTCCCCATGCAGCCGACCACATTGCCAGTGATCATGTGTAGACATGGGGGTATGAATACAAATCATTGCACTGCAACTGCCACGGAGGCCCATTCAGTCTCTAGGAACCAGCCGGTCCGCTCACTGGCCACTACGCAGCACTAGGGGTCCTTTGATATTGTCGTCCCGCCAATCCGGGAATCCAGATGGCACTTCCCTGCCTCCCCATGCAGCCGACCACTCCAGTGAGAACTCACTGGCCGCCACATAGCACTGGGGTCCTTTGCTATTGTCGTCCCGCCAATCCAGGAATCCAGATGGCACTTCTCTGCCTCCCCATGCAGCCGACCACTCCAGTGAGAAGTTGGGATAGGGAATCTCCCTGCTCAACTAATGAGTGGTTGGCTGTGCAAGGAGGTGGGGAAGTGCCAGCCGAGGTCCTTCCTGGATTGGTGCAGCAATGACAATGGAGGATCCCAACACACCTTGTGGGTGTGATAGTGAAGTGAGAGGTCAGGTTGTCCTCCAGAAGTGAGCTTGGTGGTCACAGGAAGGGGGCTGAAGGACTTTCATGTTGTAAGGTTGCCAAAAGTCAGCTGGTCTGGGATCTGTCCATACCTGGATGGGAGACAAATGGCTTTTGTGACTTCCATGAACGGAGCATCTAAGTATCATCCAGTCGTCAGAGATCTGGCAATCTTAGCCATAGGCCTACAGTGGAATGTGTGAATTATGAAATCTTTCTGAGTAGCTAGGATGATGACATCATCCACCACTTCCATCAGGCTTCCCACTTTCAACTGAGCTTAGCTGCCCCAAAGTAGACCAGAGAGAAAAAGGATTCTCCAAGGGAGGGTATAGTATTGCAAATTGCCCCTGTCATACAACAAAGCATTTGGCATTGGGGTTGGCCTTGAATAGGCAACTAAGAGTCATTAACTTTACAAAAGACCTTTCCCCCCTTGGTGATATGACCACTTAAGCTGCCTGCAACAGGAAAAAGGAGGCTGTAGGGAGTTTGAACTTGACCAACTGACAGTTCTGTGCCCGATACACTAACTCAGCTAGTCAATGTCAGGGGCTTCACTGCCATAAGTCCAACGCTGTGCAGATGGTGGCTTCTCCTATCTGGGCCACCCAGCTGATTAATACTCTGTGCCCAGTAAACAATGATGGATCAATGACTGGTTCTTGAAGGCTCTTGTGAAATCCATGATAGTCTTTTTGCTGCCCATTCACTGTATGTGCAAGGCACTGGGTTATCTTGAAACCCAGCCTTCCGGCACGAAAATATGGCTCTCTGGGGAGTTGCTCCTTCCACCATCAAATCAGTGAAATTTGGCCCCTTCTGAGTTATAGCCTGATCGAGCTTGCTCTCCTTGTTCTCTGAGGTCTCTTTTTGGCACTTTCCAGTAATATTAAATTCCCAGAAGTATGAATAATTGGTTGGAAAACATAATTGCTGCTGTCCTTTTAAATTTCTCCCAGCTCAAATTCCTTTCATTTTATTTATGGATCATCTAATGGAAGCCTCGTTGCCCTTAATTATGTAACATACGAGAGCTGGCTACAGAGTAATGCTGCAGTATTCAATCCAAAGGCTGGAATGAGGTGTTGTTGTTGTTTTTAAAAAAAGATGCATTCAGCAAACATCGTGTTTTCTGTGCATGATCCGCCTGGTGAAATATACCCTCTTAGAGAGGGGGGAAGGAGCGAAATTGTGGGATGCAGCAAGAGAATGGCTTTTTTTGATTTCTCCATCCCATCCCCAGCAAAGGAAGACATTAACACCTAAGCTGGTATATTTTCAAAAAGGGAGAATCTTCCTCCTCTTTCCATCTTTTCACGTCTGATCTTTCCATTGCTCATAAATGTTAACCAAAGCATCGCCCTCTCATTAAAACCAAGAAGCGCCAATCACAGGGAGGGTTGGTTTTGCTGAGAGATGTAATTGGAAGGGAAGAAATTATGGGCTCTGCCCATCAAGAAGTGGCCTGGTCCATTTCTGGGGAGGGAAGATGGCAATGCCTGCCCTGCCATCCTGGACACACCAAGTCTCATCTGATTATGAAAGCTAAGCAGGGTCGACTCTGGTTGGGGTTGGGATGGGAGACCAACAACAGGGAACATCAAGATTGTCCAGAAAAGAATTCTGGTTTAAGCCTGGAGAATTATTGCAGAAAAAAAAATTCCTTGGAGGAAAACTTACTTTTCAAGCTACAGTTCCCAGAATCCCAGAGCCCTCCAAGAACTCCCTTTAATTGGTCATCAACCTCTCACTGTTCCATTTCAATGGATGTTCTTGGGTTCTAGCAGGATGGGGCAGGGAAGGTGCATGAGAGGGACAGAAGCTCTTGCTCTACCTTATTGTGCGCTTCCATCACACCACTCCGTACCTGCCTTTAAGCTAAACGGCCGTTGATGTTGTCACCTTCCCTCAATGGAGAATTCTTTCCGTTTCTGGATCATGTCGGTTGCCCTTTATTGCACCTTCTCCAGCTCTGCCATCGCCATTTTCTGCTCTATGCTGAACCAGCGTTTAGTTGCGTAGCCATTTCTGGTTGCTCACAAGACTTTCTCAGGCCTCATGGAAGGCAAGGGAAAGTCCAGATCATCATTCATCATGACTTCCTTCTTTTTTCAGCAGCCGTACAGAGGTGCCCAACCAGACAGCCTCTTCACTGACGTAGTAAATAGAATTTTGAATGTTCTTGGTCACAAAATAATAACTAACCATCTCTTTAGTGGCCTCTGCCATGTCATCTTCATTTTCTAGACACTACAGAGAGAAATAGTACCTTCCATGAGAATTTTTTTTTAAAAAATGATACATCCGTAATAATGGAGTAAAGCTGTGTGTGCTTACATGTCCGTGTGTGTGTGTGTGTGTGTGTGTGTGTGTGTGTGTGTGTGTGTGTGTGTTTTTCCCCATAAAAGAAGTGGGCCAGTGGTTGCCTTCCATGCAGTAGGCTCAGTCTTTCCAATCCCTCTCCCATCCCCGTTGAATGGCTTCAGGCCACATCCCTGTATCTTGTAAGAACAGGTGGACAGAACCGTTGACGTGGAATCCACACCGAACAATTAGACTGCCGTGCAATTCACATAAACTGGTCTGCAGTGCCTCTTTTGTATGTTTGCAAACAGATCTTCGGGGAGTCTTTTATTTGTGAACTCGATACCATACATTGACATTGGCTTCCCAGCGTACACAATGCCAAAAAAAGAGTCTTATCACAGTATTTTTAAAAAATTAAAAAACATCAATTTTTTTTACATCCCTTGCAGGGACTCTCCACAATGGATTCAGTTAATCAAGATGAAATGTTTGCAAAGGGCTCCTCTCTCCTTAGGTCTTCCTTCGCCTCCTCCTATCTCAGAAATAAAATGCACTTCAACAGCTCTGTGTTATTTTTAGTCGCTATGCCTTCCCACTCCCCCCCCCCCAATTTTATGCCATTTAGACAAAAAAGAGGTTGCCCCATGACTGTGTAGGGATCCTCCCTTGATGGATAACCTTCTTTTGCAAAATAGCAAGCAAGGTTTGTCATCAAAAAAGAAGTTGCCCCATGACTGTGTAGGGATCCTGCCTTGATGGATAACCTTATTTTGCAAAATAGCAAGCAAGGTTTGTCATGTCCTGCCAGGCAGAGATCATTCTTCCCAACTGTAAATGGGACATTGGCAGGGTGATTTCATATTCATTCCAACTCTTGGAGAACTCGTACAGAAGTCCAGTTGGCTTCTCTCTCCTCCGTGTATATTCCTTGAAATCTTCTTGGTATCTTTCGTTGTGCCAATGAAATGGTCCTAGAGATCTTTCGGGACCCATGTACCACCCTGCTTCAAATGGTGTTTTTTTTTTTTTTTTTTTTTTAGTACCACCCTGCTTCAAAGGTGTTTTTGTTTTTTTTTTAAGGGAGAGAGGGATCCGGTTGTCAAATGCATCACTGTCACTTCCTTCTGACACCTTTCTGTCCTTCCTCTAGGGAGATGACATCTTGGACCGTAGCTCTGAGCTGATCTACACGGGTGAGATGTCCTGGATTTACCAGCCTTATGGACGGAGTCAACAGCGTGTCTTCTTTCTCTTTGACCACCAGATGGTTCTCTGTAAAAAGGTAATGAAACCCTTCCTACCTCTCCAATGTACATGGGTCTGATTGACTGATCCACTGAGGATTTACTCAAGCTTTGTGTACCCCACCCCACTGCAAGAGATATTAGCAGCTAAAGGCTGTTCTGATTTTAGAAGAAATGGAGGTTCAGGATGATGGTTCCCCTGGGACTTATTCAGCTGATGGCATCAAGATTGAGTGGAAAATCTAGAAGATGGGGTGGGGTAAGAGATCTGGCCAGAGGAGTGAGGACTTCAATGTGGAAGGCTTTAGGTATTCAGAAGACCCTAAACAGCTGTGCAGCATGGTGAATCACAGCAAAAACCTGGATGCATCTGTTCTAAAAGGCATCCCATTAATGGGGTTTTCATCCCCAGAAAATGAGTGTCAGAATACAGCCGGAGGAGTTATTAGGGAACAAAGAAAACCTGTTTCAAATCACATCAATGTTGAACAGGTTATAAAGTCAGACTATCATAACCCTACTGCTTTGATTGCTAGTAACCTCCAAATGTCTGTGCTATTTCCCCAGGTAAGATAAAGGTTGACTGCCTTCTTTTAGGAGAAGGTTCATGGGAAACAGTTACAATATTAAGCTAAGCCTTGCTATTTAAAATGTTTGTCCTAAAAACCACCCAGCGGTAAACGTTGGGCTGAGAGACTGGGTCACCCAGTGAGTTCCATAGGTCTGTCAGGGCTTGAATCTGGATTTTCTGAAGTGGTTGAGCTCTCCTGCTGTCAGACCACCGCCAAAAAGCCCTGAAGTTCTGTGACTTGAAGACCACCACTGCAGCTCTAATGCAAACTTAATTCTGGAGTGCTTCTGCAGACATGAACCGACATCAGTCTCTTTCATTCTATATTAGCATGAATGAAGTTGGCCCTTCCTATCACCAAAGTCTCAACTTGGTTCATAACGTAATGGGTTGTTCTGCAGTTGTTCCGCTCATTGCTTCTCTGACTGGCAGATTTACTGCATTTCCATTTGGTTTTCTATGACCTTGTGTAGTTTGGAGAAGTTCCTCTCTCTCTCTTTTTTTTTAAAGGCTGCTCTGATGAGATCCTGGAACTGAATCTATAAGACTTCCAAGGTCTGCATTAGCTTAGTTCTCCTGGGGGTGGAGAACCTGGTGTCGCTCACAGCAGATCGTATCAGGATACAGTAAATGCGTCCTTCTGCCGCCAGGGAATTCACATGATAAAGAAAGCCATGACTCCCTTTGACGCATCGGCTTTGGATCCCAGTTCTTCACAGCTCCATCTTTTCATGTTGATGCTTATTAATTTTAATAAGGTCTTGCCTGTCAAGGTGTTGGAAGTTCAGTGTGGAAGCCTGCCTGGTGGAGCCGGGTAGCTCTCTTACCCAGACAAAGGGTGGGCCTTTCTGATTATTCAATTAACTTTGAAGTGATAGAATTGGGTTTCACCCGTCCTCTAAAAAAGTCCTTCTGTGCCAGCAAAGCTACATTCTGATGACTCACTCCTTCTATTGTGTTCGCTGCCATTGTGGGATAAACACAACAGGTGAATAGCATTATTTATCTTGTCATCCTCTGGGATTCGTGACAAGACATTGAGAACCAAGATATAAAGTCCTGTCCTCTCAGAAAATTCTGTTTGACCGGATCGGTGCCTGTCGGTTTCTTCCAGGCCAGTGGTACAGAAAGACCATCTGCTCAAAGCCAACAAAGGAGAAATATTTTTAAATAGAATATTTTGCTGGGTCAAACAACCAGTTGTTGCAAAGGAAAAGAACAATTGTATTACAGGGGTTATTGGCTTTATTTGCTCAAAAGGAGAAAACAGTTCTTGAGGAAAAACTGCAGAGTGAGGATTTACATCTGAATTATTCTTTGCCCCCTTTGTATTAGTGTTTCAGATGCTTACTGTTGCTCCTTCATTACTGCTTTCCTCGCAGCAAATGCAGCGGAAATACTGCTATTTAATGTACCACATCATTTAGTCTCTTTATTATCTCTTTATTAGATCACTTTGAGATAAACTGAAGTCAATTGTCCTCTTAACGTTTTTGCCTTCTAGTGATAAATACCAATTTCGCTCTGAAATGTCTGATTCTGGTAACAATTATCCATTTGCCCCAAATGAGTTACTCCTAATCAACAGTAGAACATTTGGGAAACATAAAACTCTAAGCTTTGGGGAAACCGTGTTTTCTTTCTTGCCTCCTTTTGCATTACCGTTGCAGTTCAAATTATGGTTGCGTATAATGCTTGAGACCAGATAATGTGCTGTCAAGTCAACTCTGACATGGCAACCTTTTCCAGAGTTTTCCAGGTAGAGAGTACTCAGAAGTGGCTTCCCATTCCCTTCTTCTGGGGGCATCTTGGGACTGTGCAGCTTTCCAAAGGATACACAGGCTGGCTCCTCTACAGTTCTCCCAGTGGGGAATCAAACTCCCAACCTCTGGCTCCGGAGCCAGATACTTAACTCACTGAACAATCCAGCCAGCTATTACTGTTATGCTGCTCACAAAAGTCCTTTGTTGCTTGTTGCCAGCTATTACTGTTACGCTGCTCACAAAAGTCCTTTGTTGCTTGTTACGTCATTTATTGCATTATGTTGTGTTGCCTCATGTGTCTGGGAATATACAGGGAAATGCCTCTGGATCCCCTTTCATTGTCAACAGTAACTTTTCCAAGTAAGGGTGTCTCACTGGGTGCACACTTGGACAAACTGCCTCACTCATGTGTCTGGAAATATGCCTCTGGATCCCCTTTCATTGCCAACAATAACTTTTCCAAGTAAGGGTGTCACACTGGGTGCACACTTGGACAAACTGCCTCTTTCTTTACTCACGGCCAAGAAGCTTTACACTTGAAAAGATGGTCAAGACATGGTGATGTGTGGCCTTTAAAGAACTGCTTGTGATCTTGCTTTACTTCCAAACTGAAGCCTTGCCAATAGGAGCAGAAATTATTCTTATTAGGATTTGAGTTGGATGACAATGATTGTCATCCAACTCAGGTTGGATGGGACAGGTTGGCTTCTCAAGACAAGGGAACTCACCGAAGACTCTATTTTTCCAGTATAACCAGGTTGCCATGCAGCCGAAAAGCAAGGTGTCTGTGGAACAGGCTAGCTTGGCCTTCCCTTCAAGCTAATTCCTAGGCCAGGGAACAAGATCCTTGATCACACTCAAAGGAGGAAATCAGAAGGGAAAACAATCAACCCATAAGCTACAGAGAAGAGTGGAAGATCACAGCTTAAATGGGAAGATCAGAGAGGGACCAGAAGGTGCCACTTCTGCACTGCCTTGGATTTGAAATCAGCACCTTGGACAGTTCATCCAAACAGTATAGAGTTCTAAGCACTAAAGTCTCAAATTTAAGTAGCTGTTAAAGTTTCAGCTTTTGAAAGTGTAACTCAAGACTTGGGTTTTTGGAGACGTGTCCAAAACCAGAACTCTTGATCTGCCACCCAAACTGTGCCTCCATGGACATAATCAGGGACAAGGGCTTTTTACCTTGCTGTCTATGTGAATCAATTCATTTGTGCAGGCTCACCTGTATTGCTAGCCAATAGCTTTATGTTTTATGGCAACCAGTTATCCAGTGTTTCCTCTTTGTAACTTCTGACCATGCCAAGACATGTTTGTGGCTTCTCTTATAAACAATACAGCCTTCATTCGATTCTCCTGGAATTAGGTATTTGAAACTTAAAAGGTTATTTTAGCTTTCCCAGTGAAGTTTTGTCTTGTCTATATTCAGCTTGTGCATATATGTGTTTCCTGATGAGTTGGCTTTCTGGGATCTGATCATATAAATCATGTGTAGAAAAAGGCAGAGCCTATCTTTTCTTTTCTTTCAAATATTAAGGCTTAATCAGAAGTTAATTCATTCAAAACAGCCACGTACTGTTGTATTCAGAGTGTAAAGTTAAGATTTGGGTGGTTTACCATGTATCACATTAAGTGGGAATTGATGGGAGTGGGTTCTGTTGTAAGATACCCCTTTACGAACATCTGCATTTCTTTAGTCTTGCAATGAAGCGTTTCCAGTAAAACTTCACCCAATATTTATGGAGTGCCACATATGCCCTGTTGGAATAAACAACCAGCCAACCAGCCAGGCGAAATGATGGCTCTGCATGTCAGCAGCTGGAATGGATAGAGGACTAGGCCAGACATATCTAGCTGCTGAGTAACCAGAGAGAATTAAAGGCAACCATTCTCAGCCACTAGAAATGCTTAGCATGTAGTGAGAGGCGGGAATATGAAAGAATCACACTGCCACTGAGATGTTATATGAATCTTGTCTCAGGCACAGAAAGACTGCTGTGTGAGCAAACAGATGCCCCCACCCAACATCCCATCTCTGGCATGAAACAAAGTCACAGAGCAAACAGATGCCCCCCATCCCATCTCTGGCATGAAACAAAGTCACCAATATTTTTTCCCTGTTTTGATTTTCACCATTTATGCATAAAATATAATGAGCACAAAATTCCCAGTTCTGCATAAAATTAGGGTCTATCTCCTTTTGAGATGCAGAACAGAGCAACAAACCAAGATAGACAACTTGATCAGAGACAGAAACAGTAAGCCAAGGTTACTATTATTAGTTGTACAGCCTGGCTTAGTTTACTGCATTTTCAGGTCCTGCACATTTTTACAGAAATTTGCGGAGAAAATTGTAAGCAATGCACACATTTATTTCTAGACCAGTTGTTCTTCTTCGTGGCCTCTGTGAATCACACCCTGTGGTCTATGAGTAAGGTTAAGGACAATACTCCAGAGAGCTCATCAGTCCATGAGCAGGGCAATGTAATTAATAGCTTTTCATATTCCAGTCTCTGATGTTTCCATTTAATCTCCTGGGGACATTCAACCTTCTCCTCCATGTTAACAGGCCATGTTTCTCATGTCCCCCATAGGACCTGATAAGAAGAGACATCCTGTACTACAAAGGGCGCATCGACATGGATCGGTATGAAGTGCTGGACATCGAAGATGGGCGAGATGATGACTTCAACGTGAGCATGAAGAACGCCTTCAAACTTCACAACAAGGAGACGGACGAAATGCACTTGTTTTTTGCCAAGAAGTTGGAGGAGAAACTGCGGTGGCTGAGAGCTTTCCGGGAGGAGCGGAAGATGGTACAAGAAGATGAGAAGATAGGTAAGGCTGAGGGTCTCCAGGTGAGCAGAAAGACAGCTTGGTGACTCCTAACCTCCTTGTCTATCAGCTGAATTTTGAATTCTGACTTGCAAACGGTTACGGGCTGAGCAAACTCTTCTGGAAAAAGGAGCGACCTGTTCCATGTTTCATTTGAGATCTTCTATGAATGGCTAAGACTGCGAGGGTAGACCAGCCTCTGCCCCCATGCCCTTCTAGTGGCAGGCCGAGACTTTTTATTCAGACTGACGATTAAGAGTTTTCACAGATCTGCTCGAATGCTCAGTTTTTATTGTTCTCATTGTGCTGGGTTTCCAAGTGTCTTAACTCAGTCCTCTTTTAATGTCGTAACTTGTTAGTGTTTAAATATTATCACTGTCTGTGGCGTGGGGTGGGTTTGGTTTTTTTTTTGTACTTCCTTTTGAATTTATGCTCTAAGCCACTGGTTCTTAACCTTGGGTTACTCAGGAGTTTTGGACTGCAACTCCCAGAAGCCTTCACCACCAGCTGTCCTGACTGGGGTTTCTGGGAGTTGCAGTTCAAAAGCATCCGAGTGGGTGGGGCTCTTTTTGTACTTCCTTTTGAATTTATGCTCTAAGCTGCCTTAAGTACCAGGGAGGACTTCAGGGAGAGTAGAAATAAAAGGCAATAAGTACACCCCAAGGAATATATTGGAGGTATATGGCCCTATATGTTGTTGGTAGCAAAGTTGACCATGGTCTTTACTTCCAGGTCTTCTGTCTTGAGAAGCAGTGGGTTCCACCTTCAAGAGGCTATGCACGCCACAGCTTGAGTTTGCTAACACATGAGATGATTAAACAATTACGATCTGGTCAGAGCAGCCCTATGAACGAGTCACCTCCCAAAAAATATTGAGGGCTGGGTGTTTTAAAGAGTGGTTGTGTCCCTCAAAGGCCCCAAGATGGGCATGGATGGTTGTCAGGGGACCCCCACCACCCCCTCTCTGCAATTTGACTCGACAGAACTCTGTCTGACAAACCCAGGGGTAGTACTTGGGGCTCCAGACGTGCGCAAGCTGTCCGGTGTGTTCACTTCGTTTTGCCTTTTTCCCTTCCTAGGTTTTGAAATTTCTGAAAATCAAAAAAGGCAGGCCGCCATGACCGTGAGGAAAGTCAGTAAGCAAAAAGGTAACTATGATCCATGCGTGCTCTGTTAGGTGGGTGAACCTCAGCAGAGCGGAGGTGTTCCCCTCAGCCCTGTTCACCTACACGTGGCAAACGCCGCCTTTCCCTTTGATGCTCCTGCCTGTTCTTTTCCGTATCGGTGTGGAGCACAGCATGATAATCCAAAGCAATCACTGGCATAAAGGTATTCAGGCCAGATCTTTACACTGAGTCCAGGAATGCTTCCCCACAAAGGTATTCTCCTAAATTCACAAGAGGGTGCAGCCACCTAGTTGGGGACCACCTGGCTGGCATGATTTCACCTCAGAAATTCTCATAGCACATGCATGAGCTGTGGCTCATAGTTGGGACCATCGGTATAGATCTGTGGTTCCCAACCTTGGTTTCCATGATGTTCTTGGACTACAACTCCCAAGGAATGCTTCCCCACAAAGGTATTCTCCTAAATTCACAAGAGGGTGCAGCCACCTAGTTGGGGACCACCTGGCTGGCATGATTTCACCTCAGAAATTCTCATAGCACATGCATGAGCTGTGGCTCATAGTTGGGACCATCGGTATAGATCTGTGGTTCCCAACCTTGGTTTCCATGATGTTCTTGGACTACAACTCCCAGGGATCTTGGTTTGGTTTCCATGATGTTCTTGGACTACAAGTCCCAGGGATCTTGGCCCACACAGCTAGTGGTGAGGGCTTCTGGGAGTTGTAGTCCAAGAACCTCTGGGGATCCACATTGGTACAGACAACATGGACTTGTCATTTCAGTGTGATAATTAGAGATGTGCTTTTGGTATAGACAACATGGACTTCACATTTCAGTGTGATAATTAGAGATGTGCTTATGGGATCTGTAGTCCAAAATCTCAAAAAGGCATAACTCTAGAAGACACACAGTGGTTCTCCACTTTTGCTTCTTCATAGGTTTTGAACTTCAGCTCCCAAAATTCCTGACCGTTGCCCACACTGGCTGGGCTTCCTCCTTGGGAGCTGAAGTCAGTGAAAATCTAATGCCCACAGTTCTGAGGCAATGTACGTTCTACATGCAAGGAGCCATGAAACATCTGAAGAGTGAAAATCTAATGCCCACAGTTCTAGGGCAATGTACGTTCTACATGCAAGGAGCCACGAGCGATGCGTAGCAAAATGGAAGGAGCCTATACAAGAATCACTCTGTTCTCTGTAGTTTCATGGTAAAATCATAACAGGTTGCGAAGAGGCTATTCATACTGGAACCCAGATCAGCCCATAACACCATGTGAACATTTCCAATTAGACTTTCATCTGGATAAATGCTTAATTCTCTTAATTTTGTTTAACATGGCAGTTGCTCTCTGATTTTCCCTGTCTCACTTGGTGGGGGCCCCCGACCCAGAAAATGTTCCTGTTTCATTAGTCCAGACTCATTTGCATTTAAGATTAATTGCTTTCCACTTCCTGAGTCAATCAGGCGGTACCTTCCTTGTGCAGAACAAGTCTCTCCTGCAACCCTGGGAATTCTTTTTATCATTCGACCTCTCAGTCTTTTGGCTTGGGAGAGCGAGATGGAGTGAAACTAAATTATGTTGACCTTCGGTTGGCTGCTTTTTTTAAAAAAAACCCAATGAAATAACAAATTAGCCATTTCTTTTTTAGATAATTAATATTGCGGTAGCAAGTTAGAAACAGGTAGAGCAGTGCTATGCAGATAAAGGAAGGAATGTCTGGAGTAGAAAAATGGCCCTCTCTTGGGTGCTGTTCAATGTTGACAATGGAGAAGTCGTACTTTAATCCTCTGTGCAACCCTTGTTTCCTTTCACTCGTTGAGACTTTTCCTTCCACAACTTCAAAGGGGAGGGAACTCCCACTCCTCATGCTCAGGAGGTTTCAGAGGAATACGGCCTTTCTATCTGGTGGGTCCAAAGCTGGTCAGAAGAAATCTCTGACATGTCCCAGGAATACATCCCCTTGGTACTGCTTACCACACGTAGGACACCAGTGGTAGGGCAATCCTGCTGGAATGAACCTCCACCATCTAGAGATCATCCCTCTGAGCAAATCACAGTCCCTTGATGGAAGGTTGGCAGGTTTATAATACCCTGTAGCCCCATGGGTCTCAACCTAGGTTCTCAACTGTAGCCTAACCATTGGGAACTGTAGGTCATACAGAAGCAACCTCTAGGACAGTGGTTCCCAATCTTGGGTCCCCAGATGTTCTTGGACTACAACTCCCAGAAATCCTGGCCAATGCAGCTAGTGCTGAGGGCATCTGGGAGTTTTAGTCCAAGAACATCGGGCATTTGGGAGTTTTAGTCCAAGAACATCTGGGTTACCCAAGGTCGGGAACCACTGCTGTAGCCTCTTGGAGTGATTTATAATACTGTCGCCTAACCATAATCATTTATGGACTCCAGCCACTTTCTGTGAACGTGGGTCTAATCCAACCTCCATGAATGTAATGCCGTTCTGGTGTGTTAGACCTCAGCCAGAAGTTAGGATAATTGGCCGTGTTGACGGCAGAGCATGGAAGCTGTAGTCTCAACACATCTGGAGGTTGTTGCCTCTGTGTCGCAGTTTCTACCACAATGTGCAGAAAGACTAGCTAGATATTTTTCGAAAAAAATGAAGGCAAGCAGGGCAAAACAAACCACAGTGAGTCCCTGCATGTAATAATCTAGCACACAAAGAAAAGAGCCATGGTTTGTCTCTCATGTGCTGCATGCAGGGAGTTGTTTTCTGGACAGAGAACAGTGGCAGTTTCGTGTCACCCTGATATATTTGATGAGGGGAAAGGAGTGGATTCATCCCAGGGAAACATCATTCCAAACTTTAGAGAGAAGATGTGACTGGCAGAGTATCAAGGCAGTGAGATTAAAACTCAGGGAATCCAATGTAGTGCACATAATTCAAACTTTTAGGTTGGCGTTTTCAGATTTTTCTGGACTACAAATACAATCATTCTCTATTATGGGAGATTTGCCTTACAGACACCCTGCACACACCTATACTGTATGTGGCTCACCTGGGAGAAAGGCCTAAACTGGAAGGCTTTGAGGCCTAGCTAGGCCTAGCTTCCTACTCAGAAAGAAACCCCCAGCTAGCACTGGGGCAGGAACAGGACGCTTGGGCAAAACTAGGCTTAGATAAGCCTTAAACCCTTCTAGTTTAAGCAATGTCTCCCAAGGTACTCTGCTGAAACTTTGAGAATTTTTTTTAAAAAATCCCAAACAGGACTGTGTATTTATGCATGCACTGCACTATTTAAACAAGCCTGGGTAATTTCAGAAATTTGTAATCCAGGGAGATTTGTACATGGAGAGAATTTCAAGGGCATCCCGGTGGTGAGATTGCTGGGCTTTGCTGTTGGATTAGGATGCTTTCTGAACTGACATCATGCCAGTAAGAGTGGATTTCCTGGATGGCCCGGGATTTGTGCTTTCATATTGCATTGAGGAAATCTTTGAAAGCACTTGTCTTCAGAGCCCAGCAAACTAATTCTGTACTTTTCCTAACTCCGTTAGTCTTAGAGTAAATTGTATAAGGCCGGTGGGATGTTATCTCTTGCCAGCCTAAAATGTTCTGTTCGCTAATCAGCAGCTAGGCTGCAGGCTTAGAGTCAAAACTCAGCAAGACAGGAGTCCCCGAGCTGCCTCTTCTGATGGCTTTGTTCAATTTAAAGCAGCTGTGGGAGGTGCCACATTTTAATCTGAACAGCAGGGCAGAGAAAAGGAATAATTAATGCTTCCCTCCAGTAGTTGCCCCCCTCTCCGGTAAGAACTCCTTCTTGATCCTTGAAGCTATTCTTAGACCTTTCATGGGGGAAAAAGAAAGCTGATATCAGAATCTAGAGCTTGAAAAAGTTACCTTTTTTAAAAAAATTACCACCTTCAGAATCTGCTGTGTCTGTAAAAGTAACTACCCCAGACTCTTGAGATATTCAGGAGGGGGGCCTCTGTCCACCAGACTCTCCACTTTTGCCTGTCATAGCTAAGGGTCATTGATCATGGAGTAACTCTCCAGAAAGGACCACCCCCTTGTCCAAGCCCGATGGGCCTTGTTCTCCTGCTTTGCATGTTTCAAGAGGGAGAACTCAAGAGAGCAATCCGGCTGCCGGATGAAAAACCACTCTGGTTGGGATGAATTCGCCCAGTGGAAAAATTAGAGAGGGATGGGTTGTGTGTTTTCAGAATATCAAAGTGACAGTGGTAAGGGACATTTTCATTGTGTACTTGTTTGAAATTGTCTTTGGATTCTGCATTCTGAGGGACGCATGCTTGTGTGATGCAGAATAACAAAGTGAAATTCAAAGTTAAAAGAACTGATTTGGAAAACAATTCGGCATTGGTTAAATGTATGTTGGAGAGTTTCCACCTATCTCCTGCCCATGACTGCTTTTTTTTAAAAAATTGTTTGGCTCTTCTCTTTATTGCTGACTAGCTCCGGGCATACAGTATTTTATATTAAATAACATGGTTGTTTCTCTCTCTTATCTTCCATACGTTGTCACACATCATTTAGGTTTGGCTGGGAGTGGCTTAGCTCCGGGGTGGAAAGCGTGTGTTCCATGAGAGGCAGGGGGACCCCAATGAGAGAGGGTGCTTTCCCCCCCCCAAAAAAAACCTCACTCCTCTCAGTCCACAACATGCTTCCAGACCCTTGCCCTGTGAATGGTCCCTGGAATTTCTTGAAAGGGAACTCCTGTCCAAAACCCTTCATAAATCTTGTCAGTCCAAGTGAAACAACAGCCAGAATCCTAGTGCTGATTGATTATGGCAGAGAGGAAATAATGCATGAATGCGATCAGATGGGTGTTTACTCCACTGTTCGGACCACTGCAGGGATGGGCTCGTGTGCTCTTAAAGACAACGATCGGCGCACAGCAGCCTGCAGCCCAGAGTGTTCCTACCTGCACTCTTCTGTCCTGTGTCAAGAGGCTTCTGCTTTTCTGGTGTGTGGAGGATTGCTCTACTTTGGTTTGTTTCCAGCATGGGTGGTCACTGGGAATGAACCAAAAGAAGCTTTCCTCTTTCGATTGGACAATATGGTGAAGTGGCTTAACAGGAGAGCAGCTTCGTGATACAGGCAAATTAAACACTTCCTCAGCTCTGTAGGAGTGCTTGATTTCCAAAGGTAGCGCAGGGAAGCCGCCTCTGGAAAGCCGACGCCTCGTGTACTCATGTGTGTGCATGTTTCCCTGCCTGAAACAGGTGTGTAGACAAGCCCTATACCTAGGCGACAAATTACTCAGCAATACTTCGTAAACGAGTCACTATCTGCCACCAAGAAATACATGATTCTATTTATGTAAATTATAAGCCAGTGGTTATATTCTGACAAACAAGGAGTTAAATGGACCCACAGCTTGCAACGGCTAATGTTACCACAAATGCTTTAATATCAGATCACTGAAGAAAATCAGTCCGTGCAATAGCTGATTAGCTAGTTAATAACAAATTAAATAAGTAAATTAATTAAAACTAATTAACACTTTAAAATTTAAAAACATCCTTTAGAATTTCTAAAACAGCCTCCCTAAAAGCTCAAACTCCTTTAGAATAACTTTCCAAAAAGTTAAAAAAAAACTAAGTGAAAAGAACTGTTCACCATTATTCAAAAGCACTGTTAGTGACCGAAAATACTGGATTGTAAAATGACAGTGAATTAATTTTTAACGAGTCTTAAAACTGCAGAGCTGGAAGGGACCCTGTGGATCATCCAGTCCAGCCCCTGTCAAGGAGGCCCAGTGGGGAATCGAACTCCCCATTGGTGGCTCCACAGCCAGATGCTGAGCCAGAGGTGGGGAGTTCGATTCCCCACTGTGCTTCTTTGAGAAGGGCTGGACTTGATGGCCCACAGGGTCCCTTCTAGCTCTGCAGCCATTTTCAAGCTTTTAATATAAGGTGGTTGAACTCACCCAGGGCCCCTGAAACCAGGTTTTCCCAGCCTAATCTTGACCTGGATTTCTGGCGATGGAAGATTGGGCAGTGGGAATCAATGAATGGGTGTGCCAAACATTCTGATCTTTCCCCCCTCATCCCCCCTCATCCCATCCCATCCCTTTTTCTTCCACTATCCGTGCAGGTGTCGGCAACTCTCGATCCGTTCCTCCAGCGTACCCACCACCCCAGGATCCGCTAAATCAGGGACAATACTTGGTGACCGATGGCCTAGTCCAAACGCAGGTCTACGAATTCGCCGAACCCAAACGCAGCCAGTCACCATTCTGGCAAAACTTCAGCAGGTTAACGCCATTCAAAAAATAATATATAGAATGAGATGGAGAATTTTAAAAAAATAAATTAAAAAAATATATTAAAAAAAATAAAAAAAATTATATTTATAGATGGACCTTTTTTGGAAAAGCACTGTTGCAGCTTTAAAAAATTCGTATATATATATATACATATATGATTATATATAATTATATATAAATATATAATTATATATATATATATAGTATATATAATTTCAAGGACCAAAAATGTTTTTGTTAATATTGTTTCAGGGGAACAATCTCTCTGCTACTATATTCTGGGAAGCACCAAGTACTTCTAATCATGTAACCGACTTTATTTTGGCACCATTGGAGTCATTGTTATTGTTTGTTTGTTTGTCTTGGTTTTTGCTTTTGGTTTGTTTGTTTTTTAATAATTTCCTTTTTGTCTCAAAGTTGTCTGTGGCAATGATTTCCTGTTTGTCTCACATTCTGGTCTCTGACATACTCCATATAGGGCTCTAACCGCTATCGCTTCCCTTTGAGATTTGATTTGTGGACTGCCTTTTCTTAGAAGAGGTTAGAGACAGAGGAAACAGAGGAGGGGAAATCTCCTTCCTGGCATCTCATAATTTAAACATCCTATCATGGATGCAAATCCCCAGGAAAACTCTTCCTGGCCAAGCACCGTGGTGGTGGTTTCGTTCACTCCAGCAGGAGGCCGGAGAGACTCTACCGCATACCTTGAATGTCCCCTTTTAAAATAGAAAGTGCTGCATTTTGTTTCTGCATATTTTTGTTCTCAGCCCATGCTCCATCATGCACTGTGTAATTAAAAGGCTGCTTGATGTTCTGTTGCTCCTCACGGTTTTCACGGAGACATGCCAGACACAGGGGCTCTCTGTTGTCCAGGCTCCAGTTGCTTCCCTTTGCAGTGGAGGTTGCAAAGCACAAAAACCGTGCTGGATTGTGCCCTAATTTGTATTAAAAGAATGGGGTCTTAAAGCAGTCAGCCAGTTCATTCTCTTTATTCATTTATTTTTAATACAAGAAACCGGGTTGCAAGGAAGGATGTTGTTGCATTCTTTTTAATTGTGCTTCCTTCCTCCTTAATGTGTGGTTGATTTGAGAATAACCTCTTTTAAAAGGGGGGGGGGGAACTAGTTAGCACCATTAAGGTTCTTCCCATTTTGGTTGTATATTCTGTTGCATATTCTTCTTCTGGCTTGTTTCATTTTTAATTAATAGATTTGCCATTTAGTATGCCCAGTACTCTATTACAGGCTCAACAGGGTATCCCTCGTAATCTGCACCACATCCCTCAAATCTCAGATTCTGATTGGCTCAGAGACCCCAAGAAACAGTTGGCTCTCCCACTGAGAAAACAACTCTAGAGCCTCCACCACAAAACATCTCACAGTCGAATGTGGCTTTTATGCACCTTTCGATGGTTTTGCAGAGATGCCTCGGTCCTTGTGTGGTCAGATCATGATCCAAACCTCATTGTCTGGTTTGTTTCATTGATCACTTATTTTGGAATAAGGTGCTTTAACTACCAAGTCATTGCATTGACCAGTTGTTAGCGGTGGAATCCTGTTTCCTGTGGTCAAGGCATGGGTGCAGTGGACCAAGTTTTGGGCTGCATTTCCAGAGGGTGTTGCTGATTACCACAGTGCTTCTTTAGAGAGTGAAACAATGATAATTATAATCATCATCTTAGAGCTGCAAAACTGGAAGGATCATCGAGTCCAACCCTTGTCAAAAGGCCCAGTGGGGGAATAGAGCTCCCAAACTTTGCCTCCGAAGCCAGAGACCTAAACCATTGAGCTATCCAGCAGTTGTAATAAGACTGACAAACCTAGGAGTTTGGTGGTTATTTTCGTACAGGTTGCAGTAGGTTTTTGGGAAGCAGACAATGGACAAGTTACCAAGTATTCAACACCTCTCTCTCTCTCTCTCTTGCTTTCGCCCCCATTCTTGGAGTGCAAGACATTCTAAAAATGTTACATTTTTCAAAGCAATCTTGTACTTCTGGACCTTTTCAGATCTGTCCTAGTCTCTTCATACTAGCAGCCGTCTTGGCTGTGGTGGTCAGGTCCACAAGATTCAACGGGGCATATTTCCAACCTTGTTGTTGGAATAAATGTAGGGTCATGTTATCTGGCTACAACCCTAAACATGCCTCTTAGTGAATGGATCCCACTGAGCCAAGGAATCTGAGTCCAGTTGGTCGTCCCCACCGGAATAGAGATGTTGAATTACTTGCTGAGTAGGGAGTCAACACTTCTAGAAACCCCACGGATTCTGCAGGTCAACTTGGGTTGGGATGTTTAGGCAGATTTAGGCCCAGGATTCATAGCTACTTTGGAAGGAGATACGTATGGGATTGTAGCACTCATCCTGCATTGATCCTACAGTGCACGCCCCACCAAGAGCTGGATTCACTCACATCAATGTCTGTTTGAAGTTGATTTATTTTTCATGTCTTCCATTAAAAGAAGGCGCCCTGACACTTATACAATCCTTCCTAGCAAACGTGGGCGATTCTGGACAATTTTTTTAAAGGAGCAACATGGTTTTCCTTGCTTTCTGTGTGTCAGCATCCTTAAAATACCTGATGTGGTGCTACAGTAGGTCCATCTCGTCTTGAATTTATCTTGTTGCTGTCTAGCGTTTGCTGGGGAAGAAAAACATGTCATGTGATGACATCACATGGCATGTTTAGCTTCCAAGATATTTCCTAGGAAGGAGGAGATGCTAGGGTTTTGCTTTGTGTGACAGACGTATGGTCTCCCTAATGTCTAATTTCAGTTTAAGGGTTAACTGTAATGTATACTTCCTCAGAAGAGGTGCACCTTAGAGCAACAAGACTTGTAGGTTAAGCTCACATTGACCTCCCGCTGACCAGTCATGAAATAAATCTTGCAACACAGAAGGTATATAGGTGAGGTAGGTAATCACATCCTATGAGAAGCAGACAGTTTTCACCATTAGAAGGAGCATCTCTTCTAAGTAGGGGCTAAACGTCCCATGCAGTTTGACCCAGGGTTTGCCAATGTAAGGTGCGCTTAAACAAAAAGATTGATTTTAGTCCTTTCAAGATAGAAGGTGAAAGGATGCAGCCTCCATCTGTTTCTTGGCTGTTTGCTGTAACATTCCTCAATTTTATTTACCATTTTCTCTTTATCTTTGAGGCAAATCTGGCTTACTCCTAAAGAGGCTGGATTGGCTTGCCCTGTTTTCATATTTCAGCCCCCCTCATACACCTAGACGGAGTTCAGACATAAATACAAAGTTAATGACCACGTTGTTGGCTCTCTAGTTTGGACAGACGCCTGTGAATGGGCCTATCTAGGCACTTTACAAGGAGAGTTTGAGAGAGGGGGGGATAGCAGGAGATGGGAACAAGCTGTCAAAAGGATAAAAGTTTAATATATTACCATTATTTTTCCTTTTTTTAAATTGCTGATGGGATGGGGAAGGGGGAAAGTAACGAGCTCACGCGTTAAGCCTGTCCGTTTGCTCTTTTGTGCCTCAGAGAGCGAAAATGAAACGGCCATTATTTTTATGAGAAGATGCTTCCTAAATACTCAGCACTAGGACAAAAACAAAATACAAAAAAAAGACACCGACAGCATCACGCCATTTTTAAATTTTTTTGCATCGTAAATCAAGACTGGCTCGGTCTGATGAGAATCCTTTGTTGGATTGGCAGCTTCTCTCTTAAAATGGAAAGAGACAAAACAGACCCCAAGTGGGGCGCTCATTTTGCCAGCTGAGTATAAATGCAGAGGATGGGGCAGAACAGCTCTCACCTCGTGGGCCCCCCAAGGCCTCGGCTGACGGGCGTCCGAGGACATTCCTTTCCATACGCGGTTGAGGTGCTACCCGGAACGACGTAGTCCTGCGAGGAAGAACCAGCCGTGAGATCCAGCTCGACGGCCGACCATGCCAGCGTTCGATGGGGAGGGCCGGGACGAGGCTGAGCGGTCTCGTGTGTCCTCGGACGCTTTGCTTGCATCTGATCAGATTTGGGGAGGGGGAATCAGACCTCGATCGTGGGAAGAAGACTTCTGGGCCAGAGAAAGCTGCTGCTCTCATCTCGCGTGGTACCACCAGGATACAACCAGGGAAACTGCAAGACACTTAACAGTACATGGGATTTGTCTGGCTAAAATATATACCTATATCTATAGATATATAGAGAGAGTGATATATATAGTTATAGATATATGATAAATGAGGAAGGGGAGAATTTGGACCTCCTTTCTTTACACCGATGGCACGCATCAACCCCCTTGGCATTGAGGACACAAAGGATTTCTCAAGATTGTTGTCTCCTTAACCGTCTTTAAATTTTAAGGGGGGGGGAAGAGAGCGGCAAGAAAGCAAGAAACTGACACAGGTGCGTCTGACAGCTGTAAATAGACAATAAATGAAGAAAACAAACCAACAAATCTCTTTGAAACCAGTTTTCAGTTTGTGGGCGGAGCCTCCCCATCTCATTGCAATGGTTTTGATCGTACATTGTGGTGCTCTTGGTTTTTTTTTTCCCCTGGTTTCGTTCTCTCTTTACGCGAATTCATCTCTCCCATTGCAGCTACATTTCAGGGAACATGTATATTTAGTAGCTATTGTAAGTCCTGCATGGCATCACTAAAGCTTTTTTTTTTTCCTGGCGAAGACACGAAGCGAGCCTGCCGGAGCTGGAACGGAGAGGGACTTGTGCCGGAGAGCCCAAGCAGGAAGGGTGGGAAGGAGGGGGGCATTTGGGATTTGGGGGAGGGCAGACCCTGAGATTTGGGGGTTCTAGGAAGAGACTGACCGACCAACCAATCCAACAATTTGGGTTACCCAGCGAATTCCCACTTGCCGGTTCTTATTCTTTTGTTTCTATCAGGTTGTTTGACCCTGCCAAACCAATGTCAGAGTTGTGTGTATTAAAAACAAACAGTGTTTTAAAAAAAAGAAAAAGAAAAGTGTTATAAAGACACTCAGCCTTATTGAAAAAAAAAACTATTTATGGAGTCAAATAAAAAGAAATTAAAAGACCTGGCCAGACATTTCTTTTTCCAAAAAGAAAGCAAGCAAGCCATGATTTCCCAACTACATTGATCATGTTTTCTTCTTGCACTCATGTGAACGATGTCTTGGAACTGAGTGGGGAGTGGGAGGTGGATGGGGTGGTGCATTCTGTTTTCAGTTATGGTGGTCTTCAGAAGGAGCGACAGCCTTTCCTCCCCCCCCCTCTTGATTTGATCTACGCTGGAACAATCATGTTAGCAGTTGGAACAGGAGCTGAATTTTCCAAAAACTTAAGGTTTGGATGAAACGGCCGCTCAAGATGGTGTCAAGGTTTCTCACCTGGTTTGGTGTTAAATCATCTCTGTTTGGGTCTCAGCTTTCTTTGGTCTTCTTTCACTGTCTGTCCAGTTGCTTCTCTCACATTCCTTCATCACTGACCTTGGAGTAATGTCACGGAGGGTATTTAAATAAAATGTAGTCCTGCTGGCCATCATCCACTAGGATTTAAAAATAAACAAAGAAACAAACCAACCCCAAATACTTGGATAGGGCAAATTGTTCCATATTTCTGATCACGCAGAAATAGCAGAACATGGTCCATTAAAGCAGGGAGAGGACTGTCCCCAGAGCACATCCAGACTACCCTCCAGAAGCGGGCTACACCTGTTTGTCATCTTCCCAGAGTTTGGTGATTAGTCGGTGCTTTGGCTGAACTCTCAGGCTCATCGCATACTGTTTGCAGCCCACGGGACTGAGAAGATGAAGAGGTATTAGGGTATTTGTATGGTGTACTCATCATGACATGCCGGAAAACACACACACGCGCACACGCGCACACACACATGAATTCTGTGCTCATCATGACATGCCAGAACACACACACACACACACATGCGCGCGCACACACACACACGAGAGAGAGAGAGAGAGAGAGTAAAAATACAGGTGGATTCATCCATATCAATGAACGAGATCTAGCAGTTATTGTTTCCGACATGAGTGGCCCTTTGGTACAGTTGGTGGCTCTTAACTGCCCATTCAAGACCACCCTCAAAACACTCTGCATTGCAAGAGGGATAGGTTGTGAAAGGGAACCAACAAATGCAGATATGGAACATTCCCAATATAAGAGCAACTCGAGTAGCTACAAGCACTTTTTTTTTGCTGTAACACTTTTCTAGTCGGCTGTCAGTTCTACTGTATTTGTGCCACAGTTTGAAATCTGTTCCCTGTCTTGATGTTCAAGGTCATATTTCAAGTGACCAAGTAACAGGCTTACTGGGCTCAAGGGAAGATGCTAATCCAGTGCACCTCTACTTATTTGTCACATTTTTCTCAAAAAGAACTTAGTTTTACTAGATCACTAACAAACCGACTTTGCTAAAACTAAAGAGTCTAGAACGTGCAGCATTTGCTATGCTCAATATATATATATATATTTAGAGAACCCCTTGCTCAGAATTATTTCCTGGAGTAACCATTCCATGTGATTTTTGGATTAGACTTTACGTGATCAACCGTTCTAGCAAGTTGAGATCTGCTTGAGATCCGGAATTGATTTGGAAAACAAAGTGAAGGAGGGGTAATCGTCCATTTCCAAACTGGCTTGGGTGTTTTCCCCACTTTTCTGACAAATGTGTACAAATATTACTAGAGCAGCAGTATAATATGCCAAAATTGTAGAGAAGGACACGGTGGTAGAAGATGGCACGTCACCTTTGCAGGACAAGATGCAGACTGAGGAGACCATATTGTCAGCTAGGTTTTGTCTATGCCCCACTGGCAAGATGCTTACCGCTGAGATCTCCTGCAGAATTCATCTCCACTCATGTGAGCAAGAAAGCTGGAAAGACATAATTTTGAGGATGGCATGTTTAGTTCCCTTCCTAAAACCATGGAAACTGGGCTAATAATATGAGAAAGTCAACAGGTGAAATGGGGGGGAGGCTTAGCATCTACCACACAGTGTGGGAGGCCACAGGTTAACCAGGACGGCAGTAGATATGTGGTTTGTTTCATGAAAGAGGAATGTAAGTGGCTTTAGTCACCCACCAACCAAGACCCCTATTTGAAATATTACACCAAGTTCAAGAAACCTATTTGAAATATTAATTTCAGCCCTGGTTCCTTAAGGAGAGGAAGGTAGCCAAGAGGTCACCTGTTGTTCTTGGAAAGGTCAAGACAGGAGAGAATGTCTTCCACCCTCCTCACGGAGTGTTTGGAAGTCACTGGCATGCGTCTTTGCAACCGATCCGCCTCACGCCTTTTCTCACCCGCGTTTCATTCAGCGATGGCTTTCCAGAGGTGTCTCTTAACAAGGAACAGTTCAATAATATTTATTCACGAATGATGCAAATTGAAAATTAATGTGTGATGTCAGCGTATATACATGGAGGACGGCCAAGTACTGGGAGAAATGTACAGAATATGTAGACATTTTCTAGTATTATAGATGATCTGCTTAATGCGAAAAAGAGCTGTCGTCCGCTACACTTCAGCCGTAAACTGCTTTGCAATTTTGCTTGGCTGCAGATGTGATATGCTTACATTTCAATACGCATATCTGGGTGAGATAAAGTTCACGTTCCTAGGAGTAAAGTCAGTTAACATTATGGTGCGTTCCTTAGAGTTAGCCTTGGCTTTGAGTGAGCATAGTTAGATCAGACAAGCCAATGTTACCTGGATCAAAGCTTGGAAATTTTTATTTGCTGTTATGATATCTGGGAGAATTTGGGGACCACGGGTTTTAAAAAGTAACATTTCCACATTAGGAAGTTCTTTACATTTGGAATTCACTCAAAAAGACAAAGAGGGAAGGGAGGAGGGAAGGAAGGACTTCCATAATTTCACTCACTGGAGAGAGAACAGTTTTGTAATACTTCATTCCAGCTTGTAAGAACAAATAGCAAAGGTTTGCTTCCCTGCAGGATCCACCGGATAATATCCAAAGAAGGTGGAATCATTTTTCCTTGCTGTGCTCTGATGAATTTGAGCGCACGTCTGTGGAAAGAATGACAACAGGGTAGTTGGCTGGTACAAACATTACCATCTGTTTACACTCCCGGTGGTTTCTAACATTTCTGTCGAACCACACCAGGTGGGGGTGGAGGGGTGGAGAGACATCATCCTTATATTATCCATAGTGCAGGATTGAGGAGCAGGTCTTGATGGCTGTGGGTTTCATCTGCATGATCTGGGAGGTTGATTTTTTTTTAAAAAAAGTCTTAATACTAGGAGAAGCACCAGCCTGTATTCTGTTCATAAACCCAGCAAGCTGGAGATCATCCCACTGAAAAGAACGGGGACCGCCAACTGGTCGAGGGCAGAGGGAATGCAAAGAGGAACCTTAAGCACAGGATGCTCTCCTGGGTGTGGTTAACAGGATACTGCCCAATCTTTTAAAAGAAGGCCTGGTTAAGAAAGATCATAAAGTCCTGACTTTGGATTACGTTTCACTATTGCATGAGAGCAGAAAGAGCCGCAGGCATAGTATCATCCTAACACAACAACACTAAATCCCTGGAGACTGTGTGTGTGACTGTGTGTGATTGTGTGTGTGTGTGTGTGTGTGTGTGGTGTGTGATGCCTGTTAAAAGTTGAATCTGAATCACTTAGCAGTCCATGAAGGAAGATCTTTGAAGGAAGGCTAAGAGATAAATGTTAGAAATAAATGGAAGACGTGAACACAGTGGCATTGGCCACAGAGCAAATTTTGCCGTAAATGATTTTTATAGTTCTTTCATATGCTCTTTACCCAGGAGTATAACCCCCTTGGTAATCGTGGGGTTTTCTGCAGAAGAAACCCTGATAAGGCTGTGGTACGTGTTCCTTGAAAACCTGGCTGTGACAGAAATGCAACACCAAAATGAGAGACGTTTGTGTACATTTCCTCCCATGCTAAAAATAGCCTGAAATGCACGAACATGATTTGCTTCCAGTTTTCGTCAGCACAGCCGAACGGTTCCTTCATAGCAACCGCAGCGTGACGGTCGGTTTCTAAGGAAGGGAAATTTGTATAAAACCTTGCTGCAGGGAGGCGGGGCGCACAGACAAACACAGGTTGTCTCCCGGTGGTTATGTAACCCATCTTTCTTTAAGCTTCCCTCACAAATGAACAACAACAAAGTCATACGGATGCACAGAAGCAAGACGTTCAGCCTGTCATTGTTTGGTTGTCCCACATGCCGAGCAGTGACGTTGTCTCGAGTGGCTCTTGAAGTCTTGGGGTGAGAGGTTATTTGGTGTAGAAGGGAAACCCTGAAAATCAGGGGAACCAAATGTGTCTTTCATAAAGGAGATCTTCCGTTCAGTCCAAGGCAGTGTTCGTGAGAAGCCCCCCCCCTTCTGACCTAAGCTCTCACAAACCCAACAGGCAAACCAGGAGCCAGAAGGGCCATGACTCGGATGCCATCGAACCAATGCAACCACTATGTGTTTTTTTAAAAAATCTGAACTTTAAAAGAGCTCTCCAGGGTTGGCTGGACTCTTGACCCAAAATTGCTTCAGCACCTTGGATAGCGCGTGCACTCTTCAGACGAAACCTGAGGCCAGTTCACTGTCCCCATGAAACCAGGCTCGCCAGTCTTGACTTGGCCAACCCTCTGACACCACGATCTGCCAAGCGTCTCACTTGGGACTGTGACGGGACAGGAGGAAAAGTCAGGAGACCAGGTGCACCGGGATTGGAAAGGGAAGGGAAATCACATCGGCACTGTAGAAACGTCACAGTCTGGATAGAAGTTCGTAAGTCAGTTGAATAAGAAAGAATGGGGGTAGAATCCATGGTTTGATCACCAGAAGTGGTGAACGTTTATTATCTCCTCACTATGCAGATTTTAGCATGCATTTTAGAAAAGGGAGGAAACACAAAGAGACTAGATCACATCTTAATGAGGAAGGAGGGATAACACTGAGCCCTAATTGTGCTTAGCACATCATCATGTACCATCCAGACAACTCTGATTTATGAAGAAATTTTTTTTTGGGGGGGGGGGGGTTTCCAGATAAATAACATTACCATTCCCTTCCTCTAAAGATGTCCTGGGACTGAACAACTTGCCCCAGACCACACAGGCTGGCTCTTCTCCAGATTCTCCCTTTCTGCACAGACAACAAAACGTCCCCACTTTCTCAGCACAATAAAAAATGGCACCCCATCTTTCTAAACAGACAGCAAAATGAAGCTTGTGTAGAAAGGAAAGGGGGCCATTTTGTTGCTTGCGCAGAATGGAAGGTGCACCATTGTGTTGCCAGATAAGAATGGAATATGGCCATTTTGCTGTCTGTGTAGAAAGAAAGGGGGCCATTGTCTGGCCTTTGCAGAAAGAGTGGGCACCATTTTGTTCAATGTGCAGAATGTAACGGGACCACTTAGCGCCTGAGCAAAATGGGAAGCAGCCATTTTGTTGCCAGTGCAGAATAAAAGGCAACCATTTTGTTACCAGTTCAGAAAGGGGGGGACCATTTTGTTGCCTGTACAAAAAGGAAAAGGTGCCATTTTGTTACCTGTGCAGAATGAAAGGGCACCATTTTGTTGAATGTGCAGAACATAAGGCGGTCATTTTGTTGCTCTGAAGAATGGAAGGCAGCATTTTGTTGCCAGTGAAGAAAGGGAGGGGGCCATTTTGTTTCATGTTCAGAATAACGGGGTGCCATTTTGTTGACTGTACAAAATGGAAGGGGGGGATTTTGTTGCTGGTGCAGAAAGGAAGTGGCACCATTTTCTTGCTTGTGCAGAAAGTAAGGTGGTCATTTTGTTGCTTTGTGAATAGAAGGCAGCCATTTTGTTGCCAGTGAAGAAAATGCAGGGGGCCATTTTGTTGGATGTGCAAAATGAAAGGGGGGCGTTTTGTTCCGTGTACAATATGGAAGGCGGGCATTTCGTTTCCTGTACAGAATGAAAGGGTGCCTTTTTTGCTTGTGCAAAAAGAAAGGTTCTATTTTTGTTTCATGTGCAGAATGAAAGGGTGCCATTTTGTTGCCAGTGCAGAAAGGAAGTGGCGCCATTTTTTTGGATATGCTGAATGTAAGGGGTTTTGTTGCTTGTGCAGAATAGAAGGCAACCATTTTGTTGCCAGTGAAGAAAGCAAGAGGAGCCCTTTTGTCTCCTCGCAGATTGGAAGGGGGACATTCTGCTGCTGGTGCCGAAAGGAAGTGGTGCCATTTTGTTTCATTAGCAGAAGGGAAACGGGTCATGTATTTTGCCCATATAGAAAGGAAGGGGACACCATTTTATCACTTGTCAGAAAGGAAGGGGTTCCATTTTGTTGCTTGTACAGGAAGAGAGCTTTTGTTGGATGTGCATAATGGCAGTTGAGTCAAATTCATGTTGGTTGCTTTGACCACACTGTCCAACCATCTTGTCCTCTGTCGTACCCTTCTCCTCTTGCCTTCACACTTTCCCAACATCAGGGTCTTTTCTCATGAGATGGTCAAAGTATTGGAGCCTCAGCTTCAGGATCTGTCCTTCCAGTGAGGAAAATTATAGTTTTACATTATAGCTACTCAAATCCTCCATTGAGTATGGAAACTAGCTGATGGGGTCTGGTACCTGAGGTCCAAAAATGGAACATCCACAAATTCTCCAGAATACCATGGTGAACTTGGCTCCTTCCAGGGACAGAAGGATGGGCAGATGCCCCTTAACCAAACAGTGCAGTTATAGTAGGTATCAGCAGGTGGCGCTGGAACATACCAGTTCGCTTTTGTCCACACAAACAAAGTTTACCCCTCATCAACTCAGTGTCAGAAGATGAATATATTTAAAGAAGGAACTGCGGGAGTAGGTTTTCATTTCAATGGTACGCAGTGGGAATGTACACGTGGGGAAACTGCCCAAGAACCATATATAGCCATGGTTCCCAGCCTTGGGTACCTCAGTGTTTTTGGACTGCATCTCCTATGAGCCTTTGCCACTACTTGGAAACTACTGGTATACCATCAACAGTGGACAAACGAGCTTGCAGGAGTTTTAGGTCCTAAGACAATTTCTCAAGCTGACGTTTCCTCATCACATCATCCAACATCATTTGCCAACCAAGGGCAGCTGTTTACAAGGGTCATGCTGCTCTTCTGCCCAGTACATCTCAAAGCAGCAGAGAAGCCAGTGGAAGGAACAAGTGAAAAATTCTGGTTCTGTTTGTTTAACAAACTGTAAGAATTATGTTTCAGATCTCATACAATTGTAAAGTTGGAAGGGATGTGAGTTTTGAGACTTATGAATGCAGGAGAAATTGAAGCTTTAAAATTTGCTCCATACAATCTAAAAGATTCAATCTCTTAAAAGCCCACTGGCTGTATAACTCTGTGGTTGAGATCTCTGGCTGTGAAGCCAGAGGTTGGGAGTTCAATTCCCCACTGTGGCTCCTGGGGAGAAGAGCCAGCCTGGGTGGCCTTGGGCCACCTGCACAGTCCCAGAGCGCCCCTAGAGGAATGGAAGGGTAAAGCATTTCTGAGTATTCTCTGCTTAGAAAAATCTGAAAAGGGTTGCCTCACCATAAGTCAGAATTTACTTGATGCACATGATTATGATGATGGTGGTGGTGGTGGTGGTGGTGGTGGTTCAAACTATATTGGAGCTCAGTTCCCTGACAACTCTACTTTTTGAATGGTTCTTTGTTGGCAAGGCCAACATGGCAGGTGGATACAACCTAGGCCTACATCTGAATGCTAGCCTGAAGTAGAATTGGACCCATTGAATCAATCGGGCTCACGAGTGTTGATTTCAGCAATTGATTTAATTTGGTTGACTCCAACGGGAAGCAGCAATTGGATTTATCGCCGTGGCCCTGAATGCTTGAACAGCTGGATCTATTAAATTTGGCTGGCTGAAATGGAGAAGAAAAAAAGAAATAAGCATAAACAATGTTTTCTTTCTCTATCTTATATTTGACCCTCTACCTGTACATCCATACATCTTATTGGGTGAATGTTCCCAGTGAAAGGCATGCCTGTGTTTTCCCCTGAACATATGGGCTTTTCTTAATATATACATGGTGCCCAGTTTAAGCGTTGAGTTTTTGAGAGGAATACTGCCTGCATAATATCTCAACCCGGTGCAAAAGGACAATGAGTAATAAACACAACTGGGATTCAGAGATCTACAATGCAGCTGAGCTAGAGAAATCCACCTGTCCCTAATTCACAGGGAGAACTTGCTTACTGGCATAATTCTCGGGCTCATATCTCCCAAAAATGACAACTGCTGGCAGTAGAGGGCAGGAAGATTCTGCTGTGTGCGCTCTTGTGGGAGCTGCCCCACCCATCTTTCCCTGGGCTGTTTTCAATCCCAGATGCAGATGATGAATGGAGATGGATCCTTTGTTTTACACTGGAAGTGCAATTAAGCAATCGCAAGGTGGGTGTGACCCTGATTCATGGTGCCATAATCCAGAGCTGCAAAGAGTGAATGAGGATGACCATAAAACACAATCTATTCAGTTGCTCCAGGCATTGGAATCCATAAACACCAGCAGAGCTTCAACAAGAAAGTCTAAAACTTAACAAGGCCTGGCTCCCAGCACTGAAAAATACAGCCTGCAAAAGGTCAACGAACTCTACCCAGCCACAAGGACCAGGGATCATTGCACAAAAAAGACCAGCTAAAGACACTCAACAATCACAGTGACAGATAGTCTTTTCCCCTTATCACAACAATACACCCATGACAAAAAACATGCTGATCACCCTAATCACCCAATCTCCTGAAAAGGACAAAAGCTGTTCCCACAGCTATTAATACTCAGCTCCTCAACAAACAGCAACAGAGCATGGACAGAGTTCCTACTCCAGTCCTCTGAAGATGCCGGCCACAGAGACTGGTGAAACGTCAGGAAGAACAACCTTCAGAACACGGCCAAAGAGCCTGGAAAACCCACAACAACCATCATCTGGTCTAACTCTCCATAAACCATAACCACAGGGTTTTCCAAGCTAAAGGCATACCTTGGCTGTAATGATCATTTTGGCCCCATGCATCTGTGGGATTGGGAGGGTTGCATCCACATCCCCTCCGCCCCAAATATTAGTTATTTTCCTAAAACAGATGGGAGCGATTTAGTCTGCAAAGTGCCATGGAAATTCTTCATCACGAGCTGCAGTGTGGTCTGCACTCTTTTCCTGGGGAGCGGCTGGTAACGGTCCCTTGACCACCCAAAAGAGCTCTGCCGGACAACTCAGTGTAGACACAATGGTGGCAGAGAAGAATGACTTCTTTGCTGCTGATGCTACTGTCATGGAAGAGGCTTTCCAATGGGTTCTGGCCTGTGTTCGGTTGGATTCACTCTGAGTTTTGCACCATTATTGTTTTAGTCTCCGTCCCACTCATCTCCTTGCCACCAGCTCCCCAGTAAACCAGTTTGACTTTACTTTGTGGGAGGGGAGCCTTAGGAGCAATTGTCTCAACTGCCCTGGCCATTTCCCCCTGGTAGAGATCAACCAGGGCTTCAAGAGAATCGCCTGGCAAGGCAAGGGGAAACTTCCCCCAAGTGCCACCAGGAAACCATGTGGATCCATCAGCCTCCTGGGGTGGATCATCTTAATCAGTCCCCCACCCTTGCAGAGGATCTGAGTTCTAGTGAGTCTAAACCCCATCAGATGATGATCTGTCCATGCCAATGGAACTACAGAGAGTTTCTCCCCAGTAAACAAATACTGCCCCCCCCAAAAGCAAACCCTACAGTATTTTGAAACTTGCTTTATTTGAAGAAAATGGAAGCTACAATTCTTAGGAATGTGACTTCTAAAACTAATCCCTCATCTAGACCGTGGGTTTGGTTTTGTTTTTAACTTCCAAAGAATCAAGGCAGATGCACAGAAGAGCTACTTGGCTGCCATGTGCATTTCCTGTTTCATAATATCTGGTGTTCTTTGGTGGCTTTCAAAGGGCTGGAAAAATCAGCAGCCTATTTTGTGACCCTCCTTTCTGGGAAACATACCAGTTCCCTTTTCTCTTTTCTTCTTTTCTTTTCCCTTTTTAAAATTTTCTTTTTCTTTTTTGTGAGCCTTCTACAGCTTTCTACGGTTTCAGAGCATGAAGCCTGAAGTGGAGCTGAAACTAATTCGGAAGGACGTTTATTCCCCACTGCTTAAAACACTTCTTAATTATTATTACTAATTGTACCGAACGGAGCTGCGAAGACTCGGTCAGAGGAATACATTGGGGGCTTCATATCTGAAGCTGCCAGCAAGGAGAAGCCAAAGACCCCCATCTGGCTCATGCATATTAAGAGCAGAACGAGACAAGAAGAAGGCGTCTATATGGCACCATTGTTTAAAAAAAATGTGGCACATTATTCTTTCTTCACAAGTCACTTATTTTCTTTGAAGGGTGGCTGGCCAAACCAGGCGTGCGGGAAACAACCTTGTAAAGTGGGGTAAGGACAAGCCAACTTTCAGCTGAAACCAGTGTGAGGTGGGGAGTTCAGGCAGCCAAAGCTGAGGCTTCCTGCTCTGAAGGAGAGCTCCCAGCTAGCACTGGTGCAAGAACAGGGAGCTCAGGTAGACTCAAGCCTCAGAGCCTTCCAACTGAGACCTTTCTCCCAGGTTCTCTGTAAGGTAGATGATCATCATCATCTTTGAACTGCAGAGCTGGAAGGAACTCTATGAAACATTTAGTCCAGCCTCTCCCAAGGAGGCCCAGTGGGGGAATCGAACACCCAACCTCTGGCTCCGCAGCCAGAGACCTAAACCACTGAGCTCTCCAACAGTTCTCATAGATCTCCCAGGAGAACGATGTTGTTTGTAGTCCAGAAAATCCCAGAATCGCATTCTTAGTAGACCCCAGGTTTTTGCTCAGGTGCAGCACTTAGGACTTAAATGGGTGGCTACAAGCCTTCTTTCATGGAGGATGATCTTCTCTTTCGAGAGCTCCTAGGGCTCGGTTCTTGCTTGAAAACTGTCTTCTATCAGATGGACTGTTCTGTCTGAGTGTCTTGAAAAGATCTGGAGCCCTAAGAAGGGAGACCAGGAACCAGACGTTTCTCTCATCCATAGTTAGAACCTGGTCCACAGACATAACAGCAAGTCCATGACTAAGCTGGCCACCACCTTCCCCAACTTTTGCTGGGTCACATGATAGCTCTGTTTCTAATTCTAATTCCAATGTTCACGTCTAATATTGCAATTCTCAGCATTTAAATTAGCTGATGTGTACTGGCGTCTTTTTTTAAACTTACGATTTTTAGGCATTTGCAAAAACAAATATATAAGTTTTTGTTTTGCTTTGCTGCTGGTTATTTTTGTTGCTGCCACTGCCGCTCTGCGTCATCAAGTCAGAACTGACGGACAGCAACCCTAATAAGACTTTCAAGGTACGTCAAGTCCGAACTGACGGACAGCAACCCTAATAAGAATTTCAAGGTAAGGGAGGGCTTTAAACTGTGGATTTACCAGTTCCACGCACACCCCGGGTGAGTTTTTAGGGTATGTTTTCATGCAGAATGCTCCTGTGAGGAAGGACAGGAGGTAAAACAGCCAAATAAAAACATTAAATGAGACCATATCTTATTTTCAAATAGGAAACTGAGTTTTTGTGACCTGCTGCAACCCTCTAATGATCATCGTCACGTCTTCCCCAGGAAGCCAGATATTTTTGAATGCTGGAAGCACGCCCTGCTTTTAAATATTTTTCCCATCGAGCTCAAGGGAGTCTCGTTTAGCCAATTTCATGGGACTTCCTTCAGTTTCATACCAAAACGTCCTCGCCAGCAAAGGCAAGGTGGTCAGTTCTTTTTCATCCAAATCTATATTTGTCTCTCACCCTGGGCTCTTTCCCCTTCACGGCGCCAAGGACTGGTGGATTTCATATTTGGCACTGGCTCCTGTTCTTGTCGGTTCTTAAGTTCATTTGGAAAATGACGCGTTTTGCAACTAAATTTATGGATCTCTTTGCACAGTTACAAAGTCAGAAGATGGAGACATATGAGAACAGAAACGTCTCTGCTTTCTCCCACCTCTTTTGGTTCATTTGCTTGTTTCTCACTCAGGAAACCAGGAGAGAATTGAATCTATTAAACATTAACCTACACATTATAATAATGACAATCATCTTAGAACAGCAGAGCTTGGAAGGGACCTTGACAGGGTCATGGAGTCCCGCTCCTGGAATCGAACTCCCAGCCTCTAGCTCTGTAGCCAGACTGCCAAACCCCCAAGCCAGGCTGTGGGCTAGGAGTTTTGGTCTTTAACTCCCCCAGATTCCTATACAGCATCATCAACCACAAAGGATGTAATTCAGGTAAACCTGGGGAGCAGAAAGCCCCTCGGTCCTGTAGGAAATAGTACTGAGGAGCCAGGCTCTGGGAAAAGGAAGGCAGTCAGAGAAGATAAAAGTTACTTTGGGGGGAACTGCAACACCCAGAATATGCCGGACAGCGAGACCATCGCAAATAACCAGCTACAACATTCTGGAACTTGTAATCCAAAACAAACCAGCCAACCCAACTGCCCATCTCTGATCACAGAGATCCTTTATTATGTAATCAATGTCTCTAAAGCTTAATATATCTAAAACAAACAGGTGTTGAAAACCATAACAATGGTTATGGCATGAAAACCATAACAATGAACCTTGCATGTAGAAAATTAGGAGAGCAGTCCAGCTTACTACATGATGCACAGGGTGAGAACATACAGCTCGGTAGCTTAGATATCTGGCTGCAGAGCCAGAGGTTGGGAGTTTAACAGGGGCTGGACTCAACCATCCTTCGAGCCCTGAATTTCCAAGACAATCATGATCATGATGATGGGACTGCTGAATAGATCAGTGGTTTGGAAGCTGGAGGTTCAGAGTTCGATTCCCCACTGGGCCTCCTTGACAAGAGCTGCC